ACAACCCTTTGAGCCTGGCAGTTCAGCCAGTTTTCAGTCTGCCACGCTGTCCATTTATGTAGTCTCTACTTCCATCGATTTGTCTATGAGGCTGCTATGGGAGACAATGTCACCAAACTAGTCATCTCACTGCAGAAGGCACGTTGGTCAGGTGTAATTTCACCTTCGTAAATCCATGCTGACTGTTCCAAATCACCTTCTTGTCCTTCTTATCTTGGGAAGTGGTTTGCAGGGGGATTTTCTCTATCACGTTCCCTGCAATAAAGGTGAAGCTGACTGGCCAGTACTTTTCTGGATCTTCCTTCTTGAAGATAGGAGTGACATTTGCTTTCTTCCAGTCTTTAGGAACCTCCCCGATCACCATGATCCTTCATAGGTTATCAAGGGTGGCCTTGCAGTAACATCAACCAGCTCCCCCCATACTTGTAGGTGCATAACATTAAACCCCATGAACTTGTGTGGGTCCAGTTCGTTTACATGTTTCCTAAGTTTGATCCTCCTTCATTGAAGGCAGTTCTCCAGACTTTCCCACTAGTGTTAGGGGCCTGCAGTTCCTGTAAGCAAATCTTGCTAGTAAAAACTGAGGGGAAGACGTAGAGCACCTTTTCTGTGCCCCTTGTCATCAGGGTCCGTGCCCCATTCATCAGTGGACCCACATTTTCCCTAGTCTTCCTTTTGCCGCTGATGTGCTTGCAGAAGCCCTTCTTGTTGCCCTGCATGCTCCTTGCCGTAGGCAATTCCAGGTGTTTTTGGCTTTTCCTCACCCTATCTCACTTGGACAGTGTCTCTGTGTTCCTCTGGGGTCACGTCTCCCTGCTTCCACCTCTTATCCTCTTCCTTTTTATCTTTGAGTTTTATCTTTGAGCCAGGAACTCCTTGTTTGCTTGATTTCCTGCTTATTGGGATGGACCATTTTGGTGATTGGAGGAGGTGAGCCTTGAAAATCTACCTGGGGCCCTTTTCTCTCCAGGGTGGTCTCCCTTGGGCTTGTCCCAAGCAGATCTCTGAACGCGCCAAAGTCAGCTCTCCTGAAGTCCAGGGCTGTCAAGTCCAAGGCAAGGTTTTTGCCTTGTTCCCTCTTCTCGGGATCCTGAACTCTGCTATCTCATGGTCACTGAAGCCAAGGCTGCTCCTGACCATTACGTTCCCCACCGGTTCTTCGTCATTTATAACAATTGGGTCCAGCAGAGCATCTCCCCTTATTGGCTCCTCAGTCAACTGTGGTAGGAAGCTATTGTCAATGCACTCCAGAATTGCTTGTGCCCTGCTGTGTTGTCCCTTCAGCAGATAATTGAGGTGGTCCACGTCCCCCGTGAGGACCAAGGTTTGCAAACGCGAGGCTTCTTGCGGTTGCCTAAGGAAGGACGCGTCTATTTCTTCTTCCTGATCATGCATTCTCTAGCAGACACCCGTAACGACATCACCACCTTCGATCTGCCCGCTAATCCTGACCCATCAGCTCATTGTCCGTCATTAGGCAGAGCTCCAAGCATTTCTACTGCTCTCCCACATAAAAGTGCACCTCCCGCCTCGCCTTCCTAGCCTGCCCTTCCTAAAGAGCCGCATCTGTCTATGGCAGCACTCCAGCTGTGTGGGCTATCTCCCACCACGTCTCCGTGATCCCAAAGAGACTGTAGCCGTGCAACCGCACGCAGACCTCCAGTTCCTCCAGGTTGTTCCCCATGCTGCATGCGCTAGTGCATAGGCATGTCAGAGAGGGACCCTGTCATACCTGTTTCCCAGAAAAGATGTGAGAATTTGTCCTGTAATGCTGCCCTGTAGACATTTCCTTACTTGCGTGAATATGCTTGAGATGGGTCCCCTTCTGCCTTTGTTTTGTTGTGTTCGAGGTCTCAGGATAAAAGGTGTTTTACACTCATGCACAGCTTATCGTAGTTCCGTAAATGCATACTTTCACATCTCTGGTATTTTTCAGATTATTTCTGTCACTAACGTCTTGAGGATTTTCAGCATTTTCTTCCCTTGTTTTCACATCGTTGTGACTTTTAAGTTCAGCATAAACAACCATTTCTTTCAAGTTAGAGTGAGCGAATTCAGATGTAAAAATAGATTGTGCAGATGAGTTTACTTGCAGGTGAGCAAAGCACGCTTTAACCTGCCCGTTCTGGAGGGTCTAGTCGTTTCAGCAGAAATCACCAAGATTCCTTAACAGGAGGGTGAAATCACATGCTGCTCAAAACTGAACATGAAGTGAAACAGTGTTTTGTGAAATGGCACAACCGCCGTTTCCGACAGCTGCAGAGTCCTCCCAATTCGATTTCCTGTGCAGAGTGTTTTTGTGTGTTGAATTTAATCCTGATTCTTCCTTGGAAAAGGAAGAACATAGATACCATGTGAAGAAATAATTGTAAGGATTCATCTTTCATGTATTTAGGAAAGCTAAATTGGTGTTCTGTAGTTAGAGGTATGGGGGCAATTAATGTCATTTTCTTCCCAGAACAGTGTGTTCTGCATGAGTTACCGAGCTGCAGTATAAGCAATGCCAAGCTCACAGAAATCCTTTGGTTTAAAGAGAATGTAACATGTAGCTCTCTGAGATCAATTTGTATTATATGCTGTCTGCGTTATATTGTTGCTTTTTGACTATATTTCTTATGGTATATCTTGGGCAGCTGCCCTAGCCAAGTAAAATCGTTTTAGGACTATCTAGAGGGCAGTCAGGAGCATCCTTGAGGCTAGAGGGGAGCTGAGGTTTTTGCTAGAGCTGCGGAGGGCAAGCTGTGCTAATGTATGGAAGCACAGCTCCGTGCAGGTGGGACTAGCCTTTGGCACGTGCGATGGACTTTGCTGGCCTGCAGTATGGACAGACCTGAGACTAATAAAGAAGGATGTCATCGGACTGGGGGAGGGTGTGTGACATCTGCAACTACAGATTGTCCAAAAGACGGCATGTTTCCAGGGTAAAGAGTTTCTTCTGTCGGGTATGTGCTGTTATCCCGTCCTGTCGTCCCCAGAGGGGATGTTCTGTGTCTGGGGTGATCGCTCCTGGAGCTGGCCAGCTCATTTCTCCTCTCGTGTAAGTGGAAGTGCCACGGCTGAAATGCCCGTTGAATGGCATTGCCACTGTGATCCCGTGAGAGACTGAGATGAGTTCAAAATAGGATGGGTGCCTGCATCAGTTGTTATTGCGGTGGAATTTTAATCTTTATGTTGTTTGTTGAGAATATTCGCACACAGATTTTTTTTGCCACGCCCAGTGGAATCATTAATGAAGGTAGGGCTTAATGAAAGGAGAAACCTTGGCTGAAAGAGAGGTCTAAAATGTGGCTATTGCATCCCAAAGTAATTGGAAATAACAAGAACCAGAATGCGAAGGTAGCAAGATTTTTCTGAGGGTGAAAGTCTCGTTTAAAAAACACTGTTTTCAAACATAATATAAAATGAATCTTCAGTTCTGCCTAGTAGTTGCCTTTGATTCAGGTGACAGAACATATGATGAAACGGGAGCTGATGTATTAGACGTGGTGTATCTGAGTTTCATGTGGCTCCAGGCCAGGAGAGAGGCATTGAAGTTCGCTTGCAAAGCTGTTATTCACTGCGATCTTTCCTAACAGTCTGTCACTGCACTACAGAGATACCCAAATGCGTATCTGTTTCTGCCTAGGAGTCTTGTCTTTGTCTGCAGCCCTCTCTTTAATTTTTTATCTTGCTCCTCCAGTGCCGGCTGTTCTCTTTAATCCTTCTATGACAAATGGCGTTTAGCTAAGGCAATTCTTTGAACCTAAATAACACCAGTATTATGTGAGAACAAAAGATTTTTAGTACTTCCTGGTGTACTAAAATACGTCCAAGCTTCAAGTGAAAGATGAGAATGGACTGCAGCGTATGATGTATGCGTCCTTTAGGACATTTATTAACAGACTGGATGATTAACACTTCTTGTGCACATTACAGCTGGTATACTGGTGGCTTTCAGTTAAGACTTCTAATATTTCAGGTTCAGTAACTCTTTAGTTGTTGATGATGTTATTTTTTAATGATGACATGGGGAATATAGATTTATTGAGAGATCACGTTTTGTAGCATTGCGCCGGACAAGGAGGGGCTTTTGTTAATAATTCGGTACACCGGCTTCACGATAGAGAGGGCAAATTCTCTTCGTGACAGTAGGCAAGTCTGTGGCCTGCTATCAGGTGTTTGCTCTCTGGGGAGCACATGAAAGAACTTGCAAAAGTGAGCTGTTCATCAGATCTCTTCACAGAGATGGGATCAGAACAGTGCAAAACGTTTCTGCTGCTGCGCTCTCCTACTTGGTCTTGATTAACATCGTTCCTTTCTGCTGGGGGTAAGGACACGCTTGTTAGACTGATGCTTTCATCTGTGTTTAAAACCTCTCAAAAACTACCTGTTCTGTTAGAATTTGGTTAAACTTTGCTATTACGTTTAGAATACTCATTTAAATAAAAGGAAAATACTGTCACAAAATGAAGTATACTACACATGAGTCTTAAGTCATCTTTGGAAAGATGAACCTGAAAGCCCTAACACCCTGCCCTTTCAGGAGCGTCTGTGCAACAAACTGCGCTCCGTGGTTTGATCAAGGATCTGATAAGGCTTTAGCAAAATGAAGGAAAAAACTTATTAGCGAAAGGTTGTAGTTCTTAAGTTGCTATACCTTCTTTGTTCCTGTTTTTCTATTTTATATTTTTCTATTGGTCCTATATTTCCGTAATAAATGCAGTCTTGAATGGTGAGAGTGAAGAAATGGTAGCGAAAAGGGTATTGTATCTTGGATCAAAACCGAGGATAAAACTTTGATTATCTGAAATAGTCTTTGCTGGTTCCCCATTGTCTGTACCCCTGTTTAAATGAACAGTGACAAAACAAAAATAAAAATAATCAGCCTCAGATTTTGTGATGAAAAAGTAGATCCGTGGGTTAACAGTAGCTTTTTAATGCTTCCATTATGCACTTCCTGTTCAGGAAGCTTTATGATTTGAGGGGTGTCTTATTGAAATACAATAATTGTTTTCATGCAGGTAAACAAACATTAAAGATATTTGATGGGAATGATGCAGTGAAACGCAATCAATATCGACTGATTTCAGTTCCAAGGATTGCAAAAAATGAAGAAGTTGTGGTAAGATACCTGGTAAAGGTCTAATATTCTGGTATGATAAATGGGGCAAATAATTGTATATTGCAGTAGCCAAAAGGCAATAATTTTACAAACATAACACAACGTTAACAAAATCTGTAAATGAGCTAGAACGCTGGAACACAATTGGGCTTCGTTGTGTAGTTCTATTTAAAATTTAAAGCATCTGAAGAAGGGCTGGTGTAGATACCAATACTGTATTGAGGCCCATAGCATACGCAGCAGAATATCACATGTTAAGCAGCCTTCTAAGTTCTCCTTCCGTCCCTGACGCTGATTTTACTGATGTGAGCAATGCTGGACTATCTGCTCTTGAGATGCTGCTCCTCTAGTGTGTTTACTGGTTTGAAGTTTAGCCTGGACAGCCACGACTATTGCACTTCAGCTGAACCGATTTGAAGACTGAAGTGTACGGTAGTTACGTGCACTCCCTACCTGGGAAAAAAGGAATGGATTACGGGTCGCATAATGGCCACTCCCTAGCTTTTTTGGTGCTCCGTGTTGGGTGGAAACTTGTCCCAGGACTAAACCAAATGTCCGGTGCAGATCTTGGTTTACGGGGCTGGGCATAGCTTCTGGGTAAGGACACCCCCCGCAGTAGAGAGCGGAGCTCACAGGGGGTGTGGTGGGGAGCACAGGAGGGATGAGCACGGCGAGGACTGTGTGTCAGCCAGGGCTTGGCACAGGAGGCTGGAGAATATATTGCTTCAGAATTTTGACAATTTAAGCTGACGGCTCACTAAGATTTTTGCCTTGATAGCGTGCTCAAAATCAACAGAAGTCTTGAAAATGCTTTTTAGTGCTTCTGCACGTCAAAGGTCTTCAAGAAAAATTGCTTACAGTGCTGACAACCCTTTTATGTAGGACTGCCTCTGTGCTTTGAATCAAATGTGCTTTCAAGCACATTTTATTAGAGTGCTGCTTACAATATCGCAGCAGAGTAATACTGGTTCTTATAAATGACCTGCTGGGCTGTGATAACTGCAGAGTCTGTACAAGCAGAAATGGTGCAGGTTTGTGCCGGTGCTGGATGTAAAATTCCTCCGACCGCTTGCATCTTCGCTTTACCTTTCCTCTTCACAGGTGTGTGGGTTTAGGCAGCCACATGGCTGAGAAACTCAGTAATTTTCATGTTTCCTGTAGTGCAAGAAGATTGAGTGTGTGGAATTGGGCTCAGTAAAGTTCAATCTGCCATTTTCTTTCTGGAATAACTTCTGCATGCAGTGTGTGTTAATTTTATTGGTGCTTTTTTTTTTTCTTTTTCCCACTCTGTGCAGTTAAAATTACTGGCACCTGACAAAAGTACTCTGAGCTTTGTTTGAATCTGCTTATTCCATTGATAATACAAATTTTCTTTTTGCATCTTCCACTGAAATGTTCTTGCTTTTTTTTCCGTTGCTATTTATCCACTACTCTGCACTTAAAATACTTTTTAAAGGTTGATGTGTTAAGTAAGGTATTTATAAATATCTATGGCTATGCAGATATTAGTGATACTGTTTCAAGAAAATATTAATTTATCTTGCTGTATTGTAGGAAGCTGCTTTGAGGGCATACTACATAAGTGATGATCAGCAAGAGTATGAGCTCCAGACCTTTACCCAGCAGGCCCTATTGTGCGATGACGTTATCAACAGGAACGATGCTTCGGAAGACAGCAACGCGGGCTCGGTGTTCCGAGAATCGGTTCCTGAAGCATGGATCATCAGAGCCAAACCAAAGGATGAGGAAGTGATCAGAATTCATCCTGCTTGGCTCAAGTGAGTGCTTTCCTGCCTTACCACGAGGTTATACTCCTTACCTAAATTTGTGCTCTCTAATCTAGCTTGAAAAATGACTTCAGTCACTAAAGTCTTACAAATAAAACAGAGACTGTAATTCATTCCTCTGTATTTACGATTCTTCTGGTTTACTTTTCTCAGTGGAAAGCAGGTATTGTTCCTTTCATTGCTACCTGTGCTTGTGGGCTCCTTTGCATGCGTAGACCAAATTTTGCCAGCTGTGCCGTTCTGTTACTGTATGTTTGTCCAATACGATGCCACGTTACGTTTCTTGCCTCTCTGTACAAATGATTACATAAAGCTTTCACTTGAGAGCTTGGTGTTATTTGGAAGAAATATTAGGTAGGAAGAATTTAGTGCAACTTCTAACGTAAGAAAAGGAGGAAAAACTAAAGAAAAAAGATGTATTCCATTTACCACTGAGACAATATACATTTTAAGCATATTTAGAAGTGGAAAGAAGTGGAAAGAAGATTGACTGAAGATCTGTTGATTTAATGAGAGCAGTTGGATGAAATGTAAATGTTTTGCTCTTCTTCCTGATGCAGCTACAATGCCAAACTTCACCCAAGGTTGCAGGTATTCCTGCATGCAGGAAGGAACTCATTTGTAATGCTACAATTGTAATGGGCTGTTCCCTGAGATTAGAGTCTTTGCCTGCCTGTGTGGCTGAATCTGCCATTAGCCTCAGTGAACCACTTTCTTCCGATAATACAAATTTCTTGCTAACCCCATGGTAACTTAGATAGAAAAAAGGTACATAAGGATAGGTCAAAAGACTGTCCTAAAATAAGAAGTATTTCTTTTCTGTCTAGGGTGGGAATGGCTTACGTTTCTCTACGAGTAAATAAGGATAGCACTACGCAGACTGTGATAAAAGAAGTGCTTCCGTTGCTTGGAAGGCAGGTAAACAAAATAAATCTCCTAAGTATGTCTGTACATTACTTGAGTGGCCCTGAACTGGCCTGCATATGTTTTTCTGCTTGGAAAAATGAATGGTTCGTTTTCTCTCCTGACTGGTAGGATGCTAAAAACTTTCTCTAATCTTGATTATAGACGTTCTTGCTCTGTACTGAACGTTATCTTTGGCTTTTCTGCGTCAGGCAACCTTTCTTGTATGAAGACGATGCTTGGTCTGCACTATGTTTTGCAGGTTGTCTATGTCCTGAAATATTTAGAATATGCTTATATGTAGATATAGCGCTTATTTCGTCTTGTATGAAACCTCTTGCAATTGTTAGAACAGTTGTGCCTGTTTTCTGCTACTTTGGACTACATTTCCAGCTGTTCAGACCCAAGGCTGAGTGGGATCCGTGTGTTTTACCATCTGCGTTCCTTCCAGCCTTCTTGGAAAAAGATTGGATGCGTCTTGTCATGTCATAGATGTACATGTTTCACTTGGAAGATGATCTCTTTTCAGTCGGGCAGTCTGCATTACACTTGATGCCAAGATGGGATGATTTGCAGGGAACAAGGCACTGGCAGTCTGAATCAGACCCGGAACTGTGGAGGCTTGAGACGAGTGTGTGTATTTCATTCAGCCGTTGAGAGTTTGTGCGCGTGCCAGCAGGTCAGCACGCATCCTCTGCTCCAGGGAGCACCATTCTCACAGAAGGTGGCTGCTTTCTTTTGCTGTTACTTACAGGATTTGGGACGTGCATGTGGCCGCTGCTTGGAGTAGGTGAGATACTGTAGATCTCTGTCTTAGTGTCCTCAGATATGCAGCGCATGGAGCTCATTTTGCACTGTAATATGTGACATGGTTACAGTTCTTTTCCTCAAGTGCTGTAGACCTTTTAACAAAATTTGGAAAACGTTGTCCTTTTGAGGTGCTATAGGTATTGATTAACTGGCGGAAGCTACCAGTTAGACGTTGTGACAGTGATTTGTCAGTGAAAAGGACTGAAGTAAATTTTGAACATCTGCTTCACTGAAAACTTTTCCTATTTTCTTTGCAAGTATTTGTCAGTGTAGCAGTACATCATGGGCTATTAGGTAGCAGATCTGTTGTACTCGCAGCATAATAAAGATAGTCATCTTTATTATAGTCTTAAAAAATTTCATTGCTTCTCAGACTGAGTTAGCTTGAAAACCTTCCCAGGTTATTTCTGTCCAAAAAAAGACTTGCGGTGATCAAGGCAGACTTTCCGTTTGCTGTATGGCACAAGGTTTTGCTTTTGTCCTCGTTCTAGGTTCCTCTCCAAGATAGTGTGAAAAAAGCAATGGGAGGCCTGATGAACAGGATAGGCAGGTACTCTGTGCGAAAAAGTTCGTCAGATCTCTGCAGCTGAGAAGCTAGTTTGTGGTTGTGAGAGGCTTCATTCCTTGGTCCACTTGCAATGTCTCTGATGTTGATATTTTTTTAAAGGGTCTTCTCTTTTGTCTGTATGAAGATGAACATATGGGACATCTTTGTTTTAAGATGAAAAACGTCCATGTGCTGAACGTCCTCTCCCAATAACGCTCATGCATTTCAGTCCAAGCAAATGTAGATAATTAGGGCTTTTAACACCTCTCTTCATGGCACCCAAAGCAAGATCCCGTATCCTCTGAGTCTCAAGGCCTTCCCATAAAAGTAAGAGACTTCCTCAGTCTGAGTGTCCATGGTTGCAGTCATGACAGCAAGTGGTTGAAATCTTGGCTCTGCCAGCTTTTCTCCCCTGCCTGTGAGGGAACTGTGCGCTCTCTGCTGTCCTGACGACGAGCAGTACTGTTCGGAGAAGGAGCTGTGGCACATAGGGTTTTTTTCCATCCCTGGCAGCGATGGAAAAGGTGCATTTTCCGTATATGTATGATAATATGTGGAATTACGTCGTTTGCGAGGCTGACAACGACCAGTAAGTCTGCTTTTGCCGGGCCTTTTCCTTAGCTGATCTTCTGGCAGAGCATGTTCGCTCCCTGCCCGGCACACTTGCCCTTGGAAGAACATTGTGGAAATATCCTAGCTGCGTGGCTTGTCGCTGAGGGGGTAGAGTTACCTGTGCTATGTGGGAGCCTCGTCTCCATCATGCTGCGAGGATGCCCAGATAGTTAGGAGCAGAGGAGGCTGGATGTGTTAAATGAAAATTATTCCCTGTCTGGCATGGCTGATGTGTGTTAGGGGAAGAACACTGGGGTCGATTTCAAACTGTTTAATTTTCCATTTTTTCTGTGTGCAATATATAATTGATATAACGCTGATTTAATGTAAACATCTGGCAAAACTCTATCCTGTTTAGAAAGTAAAATGGCGTGTTGCATCTTTTGGCAGACGGAGCGTGTTCAGAATTTCAAGCTAGTAGAAGTACTTATGGGCAGTAAGCAAGGTAAGTGAAGGAACGTTTGCCAAATGCACATCTGGTCTCCCAGCGTTTATTTTAATTTTAACACAGTCACATTCATTTTTTTACAGTAAATTCCTTGATAAATAAAACTTCATCTTGTTGAAACAGTGACGTAGGCTCTTTTCAGTCTTGTATGCCTTGTGGGCGTGCAGTTCGCTTCTCTTTCTTCAGCGTCACATCAGGGTTTGTTAGCGGTTTCTGGAGCGTATTGACGCTTTGGCAGAGACACCTGTTTTGGGGCGCTGCCTTTGACTGACATCAGTTACTTAACTGGAGCTATTTAGTAAAGGTTATTTGTAAGCCCTTTGGCCCCCTTCCTCCTTTTCTGCTTTTCCCTGCCACTGCTCTCAAAACAAGGGCAAATTCAAGTCTTAAGATGGTCCACGGGACAGCCTTCTCCTTCCCTTGGCACGTCAGAGAATATACGCCTGCACTGGTAAAGTGCTGAAACCTGCAGTCCTGGCGTTGCTCGAGGAGTTTGTGATATTGCGGGAACGGAGCCGGTGTTCGTCGGGTTCGGACTGCTCCAGGCTTCGTCCCACCGTTGGTGAGGCTGCTGCTGACGTGGTGGGACGGGGCTCTGGCTGCGCCCAAGTGGACGTCCAAAGCTCAGCCGTTTTATAAGGTCCACGTCGCCTTGTGGATGTCTTAACCTTGACTGGTTTCTGATCCTCTGTTTCAAAGCATCGCTTACAGCTGTGTTTTTGCCAAAAGTGGTTAAAAGTGTTTCAATGTTTTATTAATACATGGTATTAATATATGGTATGGTTTTATTAATATATGGCAACTGTTTCACAGTCTTCTACTGTTAAACAATTAGCTTGCTACCAAAGTACTACTTGGTTTTTTTTGAGTGTCTTCAAGCTGTTACTGACCTATCTATCTATCTGTTAAAGAGTATGGTGTTGAAGCACTGAGCAAATTAACGCTCAGGCTGTTCAAAGCTCCTTTGTGGTTTTTCTGCTGCATATTGAGTAGTTCAGGTCTGGGTGCTCTTTATGCTAGATGTACTCAAAGAGGTGAATTTTCCGTAAAGTTGTGTCATGTTGTTGTCTAATTGAGCCTGGTAATAACTTCTACTGCTTTCAGCTATAGTTAATGTTCTTGCTATCTCTGGTTCAGCAGATGTCTTATGGTCTAATTAAGCCTGATAATAACTTATACTGCTTTCCAACATAATTAATGTTCTTGCCATCTCTAGTTCAGCGGATGGTGTTGGACAGTCAGGAACTGATCCTTAACAGACTCAAGGACATACGAAAGGTAAGTCTGAAATATGCTACTTTTTATAGCAAGCAGGGAGTCCCCTTTTTATAGAAAAAAGTAAATATTCAGTTACCTCCCAGCTGGTTTATCTGTAGAGAAGCCAAGTGTTTGGACTGAAGTTTGCTTGTATTTTGTGTTTTTTCTAGGCTTAGAGAGAAACGGATTTGGAAAGTTCAGAACTATTTGGGATTTTGTTTCACAGTATCATTGTCTTTTCACCGTGTCATGTGACTTATTTGTCTTTATTTTTGCAGACTTCAGTACGTCAGATGAATCAAACAAGGTTTTACATTGTGGAAAACAGTAAATCCATTGTTCGAGTAAATTTATTTGTTGGTGGCCTTCCCCCTCAGCTTTCTCCTGAAGAATACACTAATATTCTCAAGGATGAATTAGCTATCAAAAGTAAGCAAGCAAATACATGTTCAGAGCTGTTCATCTGTACAGAATAAAATGCAGTAGTGTGCTGCTCCTTTTTTCTGTTTTTTTCGTAATGTTTTCAGACCTATTTTCCAAAATCAATCTCCTTTCTACGGTCACAAGATTTTAAAATTTATTTGAACATGTTGGCAGTTGCATAAGAGATATGACAGCCTGTTATTCAAGGGATAATTGTTGCATTACTTGAGTTGTATTAGATGGCACCAGCCCACCTAGTGTAGAAAAAGTCCCTTTTTAAAAGTGAAACATGCATATCAGCACCTCCATTCCCCTTCATTTCCCGCTGAATTTTTTGCATGAGCTGTTCTCCATATAGTTTGTGTAGTAGAGAAATATGACCTTTGGGTGCATGCACTTGCAGACAAACACTCGCTGAAAAAATGAATTTTATTTTCCTTTTTCAGAGACGTGTAATTGATTTTTAACAAAACTGTTGCAACTAATGCATTCCATCAACAGTATCAGGAAGGCATCGTGTGTTTTACTGCAGTAAAGTGAAGTATCTTTTCCCGGTCTGTTACATAGCTTCAAAAGGAATTGATGTTTAAATGCCAGGAGTTGAAGTTTAAATGCCAGGAAGAATTCATAGTCACCTTTTGGGAAAATCCGTTTAGCTTTTCTAACTTGCAAAGTAAACTCAGAAGAGGGAAAGTGTTAGCTGGCGGCTCTCCATATTTTTGTACAACTCCTAGTATTTATTTATATTGTATTTTTATGTAACTTTTAAAAATATTTTAAATATTTACTCTAAATGTACCAAGGTTTTATGTGTTTATATTTTTACCCTTTGCAGCAAATGTAGTATCCGTGAGTCATGTTTATCAAGCACAAGGTAAGCATTAAGATTTTACGTATTGCAAACAATGTCTGTTTTCAAAACTGCAGTCTTAATACTTGAGTTTTCTAAGCCTCAGAGTAGTAGCTGGTCTACTTCATAAGCAAATAGTTGTTCAGATCAAATATAACACATTTTAGTGTATTTATGAAGAACAGTGGATTAATGTTACCGTATTAAAAAAGGGGTTGGCTTCACGCCTCGTGTGGTAGAAGGTGGTAATGTTCCACGATAAAAATGAGTCTGAAGTTCCGCTTCAGCGGCGCAGTGCTAGCCCCTCTGAACTGTCGAAAATCCTTCACATGCCCTCTCCTCTTTTTGACTACTAAAGTGCTAAAAGTCTGATTCTGCTCTTGCGCTTCCTGAGCGATGGTTTCAAGGTCACCGTTTCCTAGCTGCCCCGTTAAGACTTTAACGAGCTGCTCTGGGGCTCGGTGGCTGGGTGCCTGAAGAAGACGCTTACTCTCGTCTCTCCGTTTGCCTTCTGAACGTGTAGGTGGTTTTCCATTGAGCTCTTGCTTTGCTCTTGGCTGTACGTATTTTGTTCGACTGAGGACAGAGAGGCCGTAAGGCTTCCCAAGAGCTGCAGAAGCAGCCGCTCTCTGCAGCTCTGGCGTAAGGGGCAGGTGCGGACCTGCGTTTGGTAAACTTGAGAAGAAAAACGTGGGAACTTTTTTGTATGCTTGTGCTTTTTTGAGTCCACATCTGACAAGTTTCAAATGCTTTGGCAGGCTTAATTTCCAAATGACGGTTAGCTGCATCTTCTGTAACGTTGTGTTGAAGGTCCCGGTGGCACGCGGAGACCTCATCGCAGAAAGCTTTCACTGAAAAGCATTAGAGTTAGCGCTGTCTGTATAAACCCCTGCCGGTTTGGTGCTTTTCTTTGTGCATTTGCCACCTCCACATACATAAATACTGACTTTCCAGAAAGAAAACCAGAAAACTTTGAGACGTGGCCTATCTCGTTCATGCTTCTGAATGGAGACGAACTGTATTTATGATACTCTTCTCAAGTCACAGCTTTATTTAGCCAAGCTTACTTTGTACTTGCTTTTTTACAGACATTTTTCTATGTGCTTTTTATTGCTCTTCAAGTTTTTTCACTGTCTTGAGTATTTTTATATTTCTGAGACTTCCTGAGCAGTACGGGTCTTACCAGTACACTGCAGAAGCTCTGATTTCCTAACCCAGGATACAATAGAAATAACCAAAATTGGTTCTTTCACTTTTGGTTGCCATAGCAGCCAAACTATATTGCCAGCTTGCATCTCACATGCTATCTGTTAGGCTCCTTGATTTTTTTCTTGCCCTGTTTTCCAACTCTCTCTTTCTCACTGAGTATTGTATTTCAGACTAACTTGTCAGTATTTTATTTTCTTAGCTTTCCTCTCCTTTGTCTGCCCTTTTTTCTTACTTTTTCAATACAGGACCTAAGCCACCTTAAAGATCTTAAATTGATTCTCAAACCAAATCTTTGCTCGTAGCAATTCCTGCGGAGATATTGCCAGTGAATAGAACTCCTGGATTTTTAAGAATGCAACATAAAATGAAATCTGATGCTTTCGTCACTTGTACGTGTTGACAACAGTCTGTTAGTTATGGTAAAGCATATGGAAAGAGGTGATACTTCTGAAGCACAAAGGAAGTCTTTAAATATGTATCAGTCTTGTGCTGCAGTTCTTTTTGTCCTTGAACTGCTTTGCTTTAGCAAAAATCTGGAATGCGTTTGGCCATAGGAAGGAAAATGTAAACAAAAAAAGCATAAAAAACCTAATGCACTGATAACCAGCAATCACAAATGTTGCAGAAGATTTCTCGTAGCAACTATTGCCAATTAATATCCTAAGTAAATTTTTGCTGTGATTTGATAAAGTTGGTTTCCTAAAAATAGAATATATTAAAAAAATAGTTCTAACACCTTTCTACAGGTGCTGTTGTTCTCGAAATTTCATGTTTTTCTGAAGCTGAGAGAATATATATGCTAGTTAAAGATACAACTGTCAATGACAAGCCTCTGAACGGTGTGGTGATTCCTGAAGTTATGGTAAGAGTTGAGGTTAAATTTAAAACTTGTGGTTAAAAAAAAAAAAAAATCAAGACACTCCTACCTTCGGACCTTTCCTGATGGAAATGAATAAAAATACGTGATATTCAAGGCAGATGTACAGCGGGTTTCTGTAAACAGTGTGGTGAGGAAATACTGAGGGCTTATACTTCCTGTGTCTGATAAGCTTCTGTGGCTTAAAAGTCGTTTGTCCTATGACTATTGATTTGTGAAGAAGTGTGAGCCTAAGTATGCAACTATGAAGGAGACAAAACATAGCATGTATATTGACCCCCTTAAAAACTGAATCCCTGACACCTGCCAAATGCTGCCTTTGCCAAACTTCCAGAATGCTATAGTAACTGCAATATAAAATGGATCTTTAAAGCAACTACGTGGTGGGGCGGGAGGGTGAATTTTGGTTCTTAGTTTAAAAGGGTATAAGGTCTGGCAGTGAAGAAGGAAAAAAATGCATTTTCCTTGGGGAGAACAGTGCTTCACAATGGATCTTGATCACTTCCGAGTTCTGAAAGAGTTTGGGGAGAACACGTCCCTTGATGACTTTTACTGTGAAAAGAGAATTGGGATTTTTACTGAGTGCTTATAGCTTCTAGCTAGTAAGATGGTATGACATGCTAAGATTTGGGAAACCCTTTGGGCTTAAACTGTATTAAAATTAGGGGAACAGGGTAGTGAATTCTCTACCGGTCCAGAAAGTTGAGCTCTTTTTCTGAAAGAAGGTTGTGGGTGAAGCAGAGCTTTGACTTAGCGCAAGAATCCTTTCATGAATTCAAGTGTGATTCTCGTTTACTCCTCTTTATGGTTACAAATCATCTTCCTGCGAATCACTTTGTTTGATGATAGGCTTCATGTTATTAAAGCGGATTCAGGGTGAAGAGAGGGGAATGGTCCACTGAGCGGAGTGATTTTTAAAGAGGACAATGTAGGTGTTGTCCAAAGGAGAAGGTAGCCGTAATCCATAATCACTTTCTGCTGAGCTATTGTGTAGCTTCTAGTTACTGAAAGATACTGTCTTTCTGGAGCTGCATTGCAGCAGCACTGCGGCAAATGAAGGGAGGATCTTAGTTTGACTTTTTGAGAGCTTCACAGAAAGATGAACACTCGACAAAGAACACAATTAATGGGAACTATGAGATAGTTTTAGGTAGGAAGGTCTGAAGTTCAGTAGCGGAAAGACCGAGAACAGTTGGTTGCATGACTTACCATGTAAAAATCCCGTGCTTGTTGAAGTTTCTTGAAGGCACAATTCTCTTTTATGTAAGCAGATACTAATGGCGATGCTCATGTGAAATTGGCAAAATTAAAAACTACCTCCTTTCCAAAAAAAGTGAGAGCCTTGTCCTTGTGTGTACCTGAGCATTATGTTTCTTGAGATCGTTAGAAGCCAGTTCTCTCCCCCGCAACCTGAACCAGATAAAGTTCAAGGTTTTTTATTTCTTCGAAGCAGAACACAGTGTGAGGATGGGACCGCTGTTGAATAGTTTTCAGTGGTTGCTTAAGTCAGTGCGTTATGAGGCTCGATTTGGTGTACGGCGTATGAAGTTGAACGCACTCCACTCTTCTGAGTAGGTGTGTCAGGGTTTCTGACGCTATCTATGTTTGGAGCGAACTTGCTGATGCCAGGAAAATGTGGACAATGCTGTCTTCAATCTGATGCAAGATATTTCTTGGAAAGTCCGTTTCACAGGCTGCTAGGATGGGATTCCAAGTGTGTAGGAAGGGGGCAGGGGCTGTACCTATGCGCATACATCTTGTTTCTATTCCAGCATGTATTGTTTGTATTTCGCCATCTTAGTGAAAGGAAACAAGGTTTTGTGCTTAGGCCGTCCAATTTACACCATTCGTTAATTACCCAGAGTAAATTAGCAATGATAGTTGACCCTGCTTTGAGCAGGAGTTGGACTAGATGACCTTCTGATGTGCTTTCCAACCTAGATTATCCTATAACCCTATCAGCCTTTACTTATATTTGTATATAGGTGATCGGTTAAACATAGCACCAGGAAATACTTGGACAGGAACTCAGCACAATATTGAACTTATGCTGTGTTTGGCTTTCCTCGTGTGGGTGAAATGTGAAGAAAATGGGAATGGAATGCCAGTGTGTAGTCTTAAAAGTAGAGTGGATCGTACAACTTAAAAGCAACAGAGTCTTAAATCACAAATATTTTTCCAAATGGCAACCTAATTAAAAAAAAAAAAAAAAAAAACTCTTAAAATTCCATGGAAGCCTGGAAATAAATTAGTGGGTAGCACCTATTCTGTTTTTTGCTTTTGCTAGTCCTTCATTTTTGCAGTTTTAGATTCCTTTGTTCTATTTTATATACCTCCTAAAGTGTAGGCCTAGTTCTAATCTAGCATGGTCACGTCTACCAGAAGTAATTCATCCTCTTCTTATCTTTATTGAAAAGTTTTGAGTGCAGAATCAATTTGCACTAAGTGCTCCTTGCAAAGTCATGCAGTTGATGTGACTGAGTGTGGTAGTACTCCTGTGCCATTTCATGATCTTGCTCACTTAAGAGTTTCTTCAAATACCTTTTCATTTCACAATATTTAGGTGAATGAAAACACTCTCTTTTTATTAGAATGTGAGAAAACGCAGTGTTTTACAAAGCTGCTGTACTAGTGCATTTAATACTGAAGCATTTCGGTACCGCTGTTTGGTAGCATGTTAGGCTGGAGATATTGCAAAGCTGAATCTTTGAATTGAAAGCTAATTTCACAGAATTACTAAACAAACAAAAGCTTGAGGTAGTTGTTCTATGCCAGCTGCAAAGGGGACGATCTTTTGATGTTTTGTCACTAGTTCCACTCATCAGTGAAACGTCCTCTAGCGTATTATATTTAGGTTCCTTCTAAGTAGTAAAAAAAGAGATGGGCATTTTCCAAGTGGTTAAAACTTTCCATTTTGTTCATTTCCACTAATTCTGTACACAAATGTGTCCAACTTAAAAGCTTGCCCATTTAATCACCCCTTTAACCAAAACACTGTGAGGGGTTACTTTCTGCCCTTCTTCTGTTGCAGCAATTCCCCAAAAAGTATAGAAGCCTTTCCTCGAGCTCCTGCTGAGATTCCAGCTGTGCTGGCATACCTTGCACATCATTCTTCATAAGAGGCAAGGACCATCCCGTCTGGCCAGGGAAGAGGAGTCTTGCTCTTGGGAAATGATGAGTACTTGTACATGGGAGATGCTGGTGACAGCCTATTAACAAATGTCAAATTTACTTGCAGTGTAGAGATCTCTGCAGTTCCTGGAAGGAATTCAGGATAGAGGAAGATACACTGTGAACGTCTAGCTGACAGGCCTGTGGCACAGGACACCTTGTTCTGTTTTGTGATTAGATGCGATTATACAGTATCCTCGACAGAAAGGGGATTAGCTTGAATAATAAATATCTTGCACGAGCCTGAAGCCACTTCATGCTAATCCTGACAAATTAAGCAATGTGCAGCGGCTGCCAGAGTGTGTAAATCACACGCCCTCTGTTAGCTGTCTCTGAGAAGCAAGCAACAAATTCCTTCCTGAACATCAGCCAGCACAAAACCCCTCTGCAAACTTCAGTTTTCAAGTGTAGCGTCAAAGTCAGGGCTAAAGAGGGAAGGGAATCCGAAGGCTGTGAGTCACGCGTTCCCTTCTGCAGAGTAACAGGCTATAATTCACATGTCCCCAACTGGGGTTTTGTTAGGGGATTAAAAAAAATTCCACCATGTAAGAGCGAGATCCTTCTGGTCACAGTACTCGTGGCCTTGCTCTGCAGTGTGAACCTCAAAACCTCGTTGGCGTGGAATTTTTGGCCCCTGCTTAAAAGTAAATGTTGCCCTTTCCCTCAGGGGTGTAGCGTTGCTTCTTGCTCTTTTAAGTTTAATGAAGAGTGATGGTTGGAAGCAAGTTAAACGTAAGGCAAAGCCCACTTAGAGAGAGCCCCTAGCCTTTCTGGAATGCTTCTGTGTGTTCTGCATAGGTGCATTGCACTCCGCGTAGATCTTTTCTTAGGTCCAGGCGATCTGTGCGGTGTTTGTGACTCTTACTTGCATTGAGGATGTCTGTTTCACTGTTTCTTTTTTAACAGGGTTAACACTTGGCAACTAGGAAGTTTAGATGGCAATTTTGTGGGAAGATGTAAATACATACTTGCAGTAATATATTTGCTTGGGTAAGATCTCAGACCACTTTCCAGAACATAGCTGTGCATTTGAATGTCTGAGACCTTACCAAGTCTCAAGAATCAGTGCGAGTCCCTGAAGATCTTTCTGAATTTTTTTAGTTACTTGATTTTAAACCCAGTACTTTAGAAACTCTCTGTTAAAGCAAGTAATATAAAACATGTGCTTAGTGTGTCATTTTTAAATGTCCACGATCAGTATTTTTACAAGAAAATTTCCTGACGAAGAAAAGGTAGTCAGACGCTCTTGTCTTCGTTCTAATAAGGTATTTGTTTGACAAAAGTTTTGGGCTGACTTCTTTCCTGTCACTCTCTTTTGGAAAAGATTTGTTTACTTTGAGTTACAGAGATGATTTTTTTTTTTTTATTTCTATTTTTCTCTTCCTTTCCCTTCTCTCTCATTCTGCTTTTTTTGAACCCCAGAAGCTTTTGAGTGTGGAACCAGGCTCGAGACTTCAGATAGCTTATCTCGTTAAGAACGTTAAAATGATTGAAAGCAAAATGAGAGAAAAGCGGGAAGCAAGCGAGTGAGGATGCAACGCAGAGCAGAAGCTAGAAACAAGGGGTTTAGGATAGGAGCAGTTTGCCCCAGTATCCAGTGGGAAGCTTCTCTTCCTTTCAGAGCCCTTTGCTGCTTGCATGAGCAGTTTCCAAGGGAAAGCTTCGTAATGGGATATGGCAGATGATAGTGCGGTAGCTGATTTGATAACAAGAAGGGCTGTATTAAGAAGTCAGAATTTCGGTTGCCATTTTTATTAATGCCTGTGAAGGCTAGAGGGGAAGAAATTCAGCTTTCTAGCTGGGATGTGTGGATCCTGGAGATGTTGACATTACAATTCAAGAAGTCCTTCTTCTTTCACGCAACAGTGGCACGCATTGCTTTGCTTAGACTTCCTTTTGCTGGTTACAAATATGCTTTCTGTGTACTTAGCAGAAATAAATATATTCCTTCCCCCCTCCTCCTTCCCCCCGCTTTTTTCACGTTAGGCACAATGTGAATAACTGCTTCCCCTTTTTCAGTAAAGCCTGAATATGGAGGTGGGAGATTTTTTGACTTGGCAGTCTTGCACAGTAGGGTGTGAAGGTGGTCCATGAGGTTAAAGCTGGGTTCCCTGTGGGGTCTGCTGTGCAACCTTTGTCTTGCCCAGTCTAGCTGCTTTGCTGGCAGCGAGAAGCCTTGACAGTGAGACAGCAGGGCTATGTAGCTCTCTTGTCTCTCTGTCAGCCAAAATAGTCCTTGTCTAATTTTGTGGAGAAAACATATCCTCTTTGAAGCTGAATGTCTCTGTTCAGCAGAATCTAAAGCAAGAGGAAGGAAGGAGCAAGAGGAGCAATGCATACGTGCCTGCTGTTTCTCGTTTCTTAGTGTGTTTTCCGTTTGGGTCTACAAATCACAGCTGATGAAAGGAGATGTTTTCCATATAGGCAGTGACACAGAGGAGAGCGTTTTTTATGTAGCTGCTGATGCCTTGACACATAGGACAGGGTGTCGCTTTCAGAGCATTAGTGCCCAGGTCTTTTGGGGCACCAGAGCAGGTATCTGATACTGAGATGCACACAGCTATTGTTTATTTTTAAGCATCCAGATCAGCATACGAGTAAGCAATGATTTGGGGTATCTCAGTGTCAGGCTGCAGTTTGCTTTCCCAAAACATTACTCAATTGTTTGTCCTGTTTTCTCCATTCTTAGACATGGTTCATGCTCTTTTGTGGTTACTTATACACAGCAGCTGACTCGTTATCTGGGTGCTGGCTCGTCCCCTCTGTAGCTTTTTGGTATCTCTTCCCATTTGTAAGCTGTTGTCACACTGCTTCTCCTCCTCCAAATCATTCTTGTCTAAATGACTTATATTTAGCATTGTTGCTCTTTTCCCTGAATTCGGCCCGTCAGCTACGTGACAAATTACTGTTCCCTGAATGCTGTCCAATTCGTAAATACAAATTATCATAACTTAGGAACTGTGGCAAACAATTCTGTTTTGAGACACGCTTGTTGAAATGCCTGATAAACTTTTTTTAACTTAAACCTGCCCAATAGCCATATGAAGGTCTTAAGCCCTGTGACAGAAGGAATAGAAGGTGTCCAGGTATTTTCTGTTTTATGCATAATGAGCTAAGACCTGGTTTAATCCCAGTTCTTAGGTAGTATTTCTCATGATTAGAAGTTCTGATCTCTGTTTAGACTACAGGTACTGCTTCTGCACAGTACATTGTCTACCTCAGGAAATCACCTCATATATTATCTTCTGCCCTGTAGTGACTCTCTTTGAAATGGCCTCTGGAAGGGTACCAGGCTCCTCAGCAGCAGTCCTGCACTTTGAGTGCCATGTTTGTAGCAGGTCAGGAGGGGAGGTGGGAGCACCGTAAGGTCCTGGCACCAAATCTCCCTGGTTAAAATTTTAAATACGTATTTTTAGAAGACGCTTTCGGTCTCTTCTTCTCGTAGGGAGAGTTATGTCAGTGTCTGCCCTAAACTCCCTGAAAATGTTGAAATGTTTTGTCCTTATAATTTAAGTTTTGTGGTTGTCTTAGAAACCATGTAGAACAAACGTTTCAGCTGGTTTTTGGAAGGCATTCTCTTTTTGCAAGGAAAGTATTTGAATTAATATGATTCTGAAAGTCATTTTATCCCTCAAACTGTACTTTTCCGTATACTGTTTGCTGACAATTTTTAGCAAGGCCTAGTTATAGTGCCTCTGTTTTTAACATTAGGCCAACTCTGTAGTTTGAGTGGGTAAAGGACTCTTGAGTTTCCAGAAGAACAAGATCCGTAACTTGTCTGTCCATTATGTGGACGTTGAATCTGTTATTTGTTGAATATAGATTTTTTTTAATAAGCATCTAGGAAATATTTTTAAATGCTGTAGTGATTTTCCTGCCACAGTCATGTTTTTGGGTAAGACTTTTTTTTTTTTCCTGTCAGGCTTCCAAGATACCACAGAACTGCTGCCCACTTCTTGTATTTGTGAATCCAAAAAGTGGAGGTCTAAAAGGTCGGGATCTGCTGTACAGTTTCAGAAAGCTGCTAAATCCTCATCAGGTCTTTGAACTTACTAATGGTGGCCCACTGCCTGGGTAAGTCATTGTATTTTCTTCACTTTATGGTTGATGTTATTTTATTAGCTGTTTTGGAAGGATCGGGTTCACCAGATACGAAGATCTAAATTGCATCTGTTCTCTGGATAAGTAGATCTAAATTACTTCCCTTTTACGCCTGAAGACCAGAGTGGTGGATCACTCCTTCCAACTGGTTCTTATTCTGACAACAAATGTAAACTTTCGGATTTCTAGAGAAAAGAGAACAGAGTAGTTCCTGATGCATGTGCTCATATCAAGGCGAGTAGAGTCCAGTCCTGGGAAAGTTATACAAACTTTATTATAATGCATAGCTAATGACTATTAAAAGTAAAAAGATTTTACGATAAAACAGAGTTGGAAAGAGAAATGTCATATTGCCTGACAGTGGTGCTCATTTTTGCGTTTATTTCTTCTGATATTTCATAGAAACTAACAGGAAATTATAAAAAAAAAATTTCTATCTTGACTCCTGGAACTTGGCCGCAATTGCAGAATTAGCAGGGCCTGCTACAACAGCTGCAACGTTTCTAAATATAAGCAACCGAACACGATGTGCTAGTAGGGAGGCAGTAACCGATTACTTGATTTAACGAACGTAGTTTTGTTACCAGCTCCGTATCACTGGGATAAACTACTGATGGTCGTAGTTTACTCAGAGTAGGCTGGTATTTTAGCAGTGCTTTAACAACAACTCTTAACAAGCTCTTCAAAGCAAATATTCTCCTAGTTTTCCTTGGAGAAATGGAGCTTATGCAGGAAGCAGGAACAACTGGAGCACACTAAGTTTTTTGTCAGAACTGTGCAATTCGACTGTCCTTCTAATGTAGTTCAAGCCTCAACTCAGGTGGTTAATTAACGTTGTTAAAGCCATAGAATTTTTCTGTAGCTGCATGGCAAAATGCTTTCACTTGCTTATTGCTCCTTGTGAAATGGGCGTTACAAATTCCTTTGCAGTATGTCTTGGTATGGAAGGATGAAAAGTCACAAAGTGTGAGAGCGAATAAGAAAACGGTGCTATATACTGTGCTGCAAATGCCGTCTAAACACCACACTTAACAGGGTAGAAAGTGCTAATTCAAGAAACCTAATGGTAATCTCCACAAAGCTTTAGAGAATCATAGATGTTCAAATTAAAACTGTGAATAGTTAAATCTCTGTATTTGGTGAGACAGGAACTCATTAACTCCATTAACTCACTATCTCGAGCTGTGAGAAGCCATAGGACATTGTGGTTTTCACTGTTTTTAAGCATGTGAAAGGAAGCTGGTGTGAATCTGTTGACTTGGTTAAATTTGATTCTGAAAGATCAAACACTGAGAGACTTTGTCTTTTCTATACTACGTTGTAACCTTTTGTCTTCCTTCTGCTCTTTTTCTAAATGTAGATTTCACACGTTCTCTAAAATCCCCTCTTTCCGAGTGCTGGTGTGTGGAGGTGACGGCACTGTTGGTTGGGTTCTTGGTGCGCTCGAGGAGATCAGGCACAAGCTGGTGTGTTCAGAGCCCTCCGTTGCCATCTTACCTTTAGGAACAGGTGAGCTCTAACTTCAGAAGCACTCGGCGCGCTCTGAAGTCACTCTCTTTTCATTCTCATGCTGCTTTGCTGTTAGGGTTACATGGCCCTGACCTCCGTTCCTCTTCTGAGTACGGTATGATTCGTGTTATTTAATGGCAAACTGGTTGTTTGGAGACTTAGGTGTCGTCTTAGTGCATGTGTGAATTGTGGTAGTAGTTCAGTATTAAACTTGTGGTGATGGAAATTCATGCAGCTTAGTTATTTCATGATCAGTTCTCCATGGGGTTTTCAGAAGGATTAGCTGCTGGGAAAAGTTGCTATCATAAACATAAAATCTAGCTTGAACTGGTGGCAGCAGAGAACAGAACAAAGACTCGTCTTTCCACGTAGCTCAGAGTTGTACTGAGGTTTTATTTTCCCTGTTAAGGTGTCGTTTGAGTTCAGCATTTTTTAACTCATGTAAGCTGATGGTCGTTTTCAGCCTGTCACGGGTGTGAAATGTAGGTACCTTAGATGTTTATTTTCTAGTGTAAGGGGGGAAAGATCTGTTCTCTCTCCCTTACCTCAGATTGCATCTATCAAACCACATGCACGCAGTATGTAGTTTCTTAATTTTGAGGCTTTTGAAGTTTCTTTATTTTGTGATGTTCTATGACAGTTGCATCCTCAGTCCCAGAAGGTGGGCTAGCCCCTAGTGTGGGCACACTGCTGCCTGCAGTTGTATATTGGCCCAAGAGCTTGAAATCCAGCTTGGATTTCCATCTGAAGCTTTGTACCTGGTAGTCCCACGAGACTTATGTGGGGAATTTTCTTGTGATTTGAGTTGTAGAATAGGACTGGTTGATGTTTTTATGCCTTTTGCTAACTGATTAAATGCAGCTGTATTTCGGGGTTCTTCACTGTTGCCCAGGTAATGACCTAGGGAGGGTGTTGCGCTGGGGAGCTGGCTACAGTGGGGAGGACCCCTACTCTATTTTGATTTCCGTGGATGAGGCGGACGATGTACTTATGGATCGCTGGACTATCCTTTTGGATGCCGAAGAGCCTGCTGAAGGTGCAGAGAATGGTGTGACAGAACCTGAGCCTCCGAAGGTGAGCCTGGGCGCCTTTGGGGCTTGATTTTGAGGAACTGTTGTTCTCCCAAAAGTTGCAAAGAAGATAGATTTAGCAGAGTTTACTCTTCTATTGCTCAGTCTTTTACTGCTCTTATATCTTTGTGCATGCTATTGGTGAGCTGTTCTTTAGCAAACATGGCATACGTCTGAATCTAGCACTTCAGTTTTGGTAAGACTGGTTGTTTGCCAAACACCTTTTCAGTTGTTTGGCAGGAATTATGTACAAGAGGGACTAATGAAAAGAGTTATGTGGCAATGGCATGCCTGTATGCTTCGGTTGGAAAGACATACGTTTCTGAAATAAGGAAAGCTTGTTGAAGGAAGGCCGAACGCTCTCCAGAAACGTTAGTGAAACCAGAGTGTTGACCAAAAAACCCAAGTCAAAAGAAGAAAAAATCTACTCTGATCTTTCTTGCCCCAGTTGGGAAAACTGTCTGTCAATTGCTAATATACACAAGGGGTATAAATCTTTTTCTGTCGTCTAACTGCCATGGAAAGGATATCCATCCGTCTGCGCTATTACTTTTTATTATTTTTGGAGTGAAAGTCCCTGTTCCTTGGTTCATGTCACTTCTTTCTGTTTTAGGAAAATTAAAAATATTGATCGGAGATGGTGACTTAGAGCTTTGATTGAATCCCGTTTCAGTTTATTTTCAGACAAACCAAGGAATTGGACAAAAAGGAGGTAGAGAAAAGAGAGCAGAAAAATTGTAAGGAGGTCAGCCCTTATCTTAGATTGTAGTTTAGTTGCTGGAAAATCCTAGGCATTAAATGTCAGTTTGAGAATTGAAATCGTTCAGGTTCCAGCTATTTTTAACTTGGTGGAGACAGGGCAGATTTGCCCAGAGTGCCTAATCTGCTTTTTAAAGATGAAGGGTAAGAGAGTCAAGAACTAGGATAGAAAAAGCTATGCAATGAAGTGGCACGCAAAGGAAGAATTAATAACAAAAGTAGTTGAAATCTGTAGAAACTTGAGGTTGGCACATAGGGAGCTATTTAAAATGCAACTGAGTAGGTGAAATTGAGTTCTCTACTCATCTAGCATAAGGAAGTTACCTTCCAAGATAAGGGAAAGGATCTACCTAATGATGTCATGGTAAATCCATGGTTAATGCCAAACGTAATGGTGGTATTAATGTTCAATGAGTTGTGTAGCTGTTGCATAGAATCACTTTGAAAAGTTGCGTTGGTTTTATTTCTTCATTTACAGAACTTTCTGTGCTCAAGTTTCTTGTAATTAAGATTAAATTTTGACATTCCTGATAGTTTAGGTAGTTTTACTGCTTATATCAATAATTGTCCATATAGCGCTATTTTTATTGCGATGTCTCTGGAGCTTATTTTCTTAGGTCTGTTGTCAAGGTGCAGATGATTTGGAAGAATCATTTACAAAACATTCTTTCCATTGAAGTTTTTCTGAAACCTTGGTTTGTACTGTAAGCCTTGAGGCAATAATGCGGGGGTGTTTTTTGTTTGTTGTTTATTTTTGTCAGATTGTACAGATGAACAATTACTGTGGTCTTGGCATCGATGCAGAGTTGAGTTTGGACTTTCATCATGCTAGAGAGGAAGAACCAGGGAAATTTAATAGCAGGTAATCCTGGCGGAAAACAGGGATGGGGGGCAAATATTTTTGTATTGTGGTATTTCATAATTTCTCATTTATACCATGACTGATAATCTTGAAATGTTACAAATAATATTACTTGAGGCAGGGGTGGCACAGGAGGAATTAAATTAACTATAAATTCTTACACATGGAATTTATTTGGGTTTGGGTTTTGTTTTTCCAAGTGAGAGAGCCAGAGTAGTGTTTTGGAAAAACTGTTGTTACTGTTCAGGATAGCAGGATAACTTATTTGCCAATATCTTCAATATCGAATATCAGTGAAATTTCAGGGTAATGGAAATCTCTTATTCAAAGCCTTTAGTAGAAAGAAGGTCAGTGCTGCTACGAGAGTAATAAACACGTTGCTCAGCACATCTTTGTACATACAGTTTCTGCCCTGCTGGGCTTTTTGATAGGTTGAAGACTTGCTTACTGCTATGGCAGTATCGCCGTGCTTGTAATAATGATAAAAAAAAATCTCTGAATCTTAATTGAGAGAATGTAGTACAAAAGATGTTCTCTGAAGGCTTTGGCCTTGCTGGCATGCAGATCAATCAATAAAAATATGTATTTTTTTCTTCCTGTAATCACTGAAACTGAAGAGAAAAAGAAATTGCATTTGTGTAATTAATCAGTAGTTCGTCATAGAAACCATTTTTGACTGCCTTTTATTCCCCTGTGTTTGTGAACTAATGTCCTCTAATTTGTCCTTCAGTTGCCAGAACAAGACAACTGCGATTGCACAGTATTCCAGTCCTTATTATTACGAATATTCTCTGACTGATTATGAGTATAATGATGTTTAATCCCATCCCTCTTGCAGTATTCTGTCTGTCGACACAGCTCTTGCTCAAATATTTTCTTTAAAATGTAATAGTAAGAGTAATAGTAAGACTGTTTGTGGTACATAAATTACTATTAATGCAACAGGCCACTGAATTGCGTAAGTAAGAACATCAGCATAGGTAATAACCTCAGCTAATACGTTTGCATATAGTAGGGCCTGAGCCAGTGTATAAAATCATTCTAGACTTATTTGAGAAAACAATATAAGAATTACGCTTACTGTGCCTTTAAAATATACTACTATGACTTTGCAGAGCTGCAGCACTTTAGAAGATGCATCCTTTCCTTATTGCCACTGCCTTTAAGCATTATGCTCTGACCTTTATTGCCTTGTGTGCTTTTTATCCTTGGAGTCTATCTCAGCCAGCCCACAGCGTGCAGCATCTGCAGTGCAGTAGGCAGTGACCTGGTATCTTCCTTGCAGGCCTTTTACATACATATTTGGACACAGTGCAAGGAGGATGTCTTGAAGATCATGTGTGGAAGGAGACCAGAAGGGATTAGATATTTTTCATAATTGGAGATCTTGAAAAGGAACTTGAGCTAATGAGTTGATACTGAGGTAAAGGTGTACAGTCTTGCAGGGGACAAACAGGTAACGCAGTCCAGTGCTGCCGACACGATTGCTGCCCTTCAGTGCCAGTGCAATGGTTGTCACAATTGCTGGCTTTCCCCTTTCCCAGGATATGCATGCTCTTTTTCTTTCTTTCCATAAAATAACTAAAAGGTGTCTGCCTGAGCCCAGATGCAACAGCTGCTGACACGTGGAACGGGCTGCTCTTGCTTGCGGGACGGGAAGTTTGATGTTGTGGCAGTAGAGACTGTGGGTGCTCCTTGGAATAAAAATGGGCTTGAGTGCTCTCTGAATCAAGACCTTAGGCTGGTAAACATCCTGGCAACTGTGTGCTTTCTGGCCTCTCCTTGCAGAGAGAAAGTGTCTTTCCTTGCTCAGGTGTCCTTGTCCTTTGGCTAGTAGCTCACAGTTCAATGGTGATTTCCCTGCAAGGAATTTAGACCCAAACTTGCATCACAGCGCAGATAGAAACAGTGCATGTTTTTGCTGTGATGCCGTTTCAGTTGTGGAGTGCCGTGCTTTGTGAGTATTTTTTCATGGTCAGAAACCACAAATGAGAGCATCTGCCTACATTCCCCATTCCCATGGGATCCTGCAGCAGTCTTTAGGGTTGCCTGTTATAGGAGAGACCACATCATCTTTGTGCCATCCCAAATCGGCAAGAGACTGCTGGGACAGCCCTTCTCATGGCTGAAAGGTGAGGCAGAGAGAATACTCTGCCCAGCTTAATGGAAGTTCAGAATTTTTTGCCAAGATGCCAAGCTGCTCTATCTTTTGGGGCGGCGGGTTGATAGTTTTGGTCATTTGGTTTCTCATATATGGGATTTAGTGTGCTGCAGGAGCTGCTGTCTGATTCACTTTTTTCCCATTTGGGTCCTCTCCGTGTGAATCTGGTGATGCTGTTTTCTGGTCAGTAAAATCATCTCAGTAAAATCACCCAAACAGGTTCTAATCACTGCTCTGAGTTCTAGCGTCCCTTAGCTTTTGCAGTGGGGTTTTCTCGAGATGGGATGGTAAGATTGCTGGACTGGGTGGGAGGTGCACGTTATTTTCCTTGATAACTCTTTGTGCTGTGTACTGCAGTTATGAACGCTTTGCTTACTTCCGAGAGATGTTACCTAGCTGGTTATTACTGCTCGTGGGAAATTTCAGTAGAATGCCTGGCACATAGATTTCTTATCCAGCACCTTTAAAAAAATCCCCAAACCTACCCTTTTTGATAAGCAGCACCTGGCAAGAGCTCTGAAAAGTCTAGATTTTTGCATCAACTCACTTGGCTTCTTAGTAACTCTCAAAGGCTGGCTTTCTTGTTGTTGTTGTTTTTTTTTTTTCGTGAAAGCTTGGAAAGTAGTTGTTGATGGTCTTACTTTCTCTTGCTACCGGAGATGCATGTTAAAATTTCTAATATAAATCACAGTATGGAATACTTAAGCTTCCAGTAAGCTATGTATAGATGTTGTTTCCATCAGTCTAGTTACCAAATACTGGCTTTTGAGGGGTCAGAAACTCTTAAGTAAGTTAACAAGCATTAACCTGTCCTTACCCATTTTCTAAACTGTTCAGACTTAGGCAATTTGATAGTGTTTGACATAACTATTGATATCATAACTAATAATCACAAATAACATGAAAGAAGCGTTTTTCAGAAGCACTTCATTGTTCTTCCTTTGTTTTCTTTGCTAATAGAAAGGTTAAATTCTCAGGATATAGGATTGATTGTTCTGCATACTGCAAAAGGCTAAACAAAATTCATCTGTGTTCATAATGCAGTTGATAACTAGGCGTAGCACTGATGATCAGTACAACCTTGGATATATTTTAGTCAGCTCTGAGAATCTGCAGTTTCTCTGCAGAAGATCTTCCCTTTGGGTTTGCAAGAAATACCTTCTGCAAAGTCTTTTTGCAGTGCATTTTTTCTTCTACAGCTGTTCCCAACATACCATCTCCATTTTACTTTGGAGTAAAGTGGAGCTGGTGTTTGCAGTTGTTTTGTTGTTGTGATAGACAAGTAAAAAAGAATTATACTGATGTTCTGCTTCAGATAGTCAATATTGAGTTAGGCAACAGCAGAAAAAGCCGAGGAAACAGAATGATTGTTTTTGAGCTATATTCAATATTTTCTTGAGTAGTCAATAAAATACAAGTTACACGAGAGCTGGTACTAGAGTTCTCTGATTACCAAGTGTACTTCCCATTGAAATGTGTGATCTTGGCTCTTTAGAAGTTTGGGATTTCTGCTTTTTTAGACAGTGTAGAGGTGGAGAAGTACTTCTCCCAACCTTCTTCCATTCCTTAGTGGAGGTATCTATTTGACTCCCTGCTCTCAATCCGTTTCCTGTCTTGCTGCTGCAGAGTCCAGGCAAATTTATAGTAGATGGGGCCATGGAGGTGCCCATGCTATCCCATAATGGTATTTAGCATTTTAGTCAGAGATATTGGCTCACAGCCATTGGGGCTGAGCCCAGAACTGCCCCAGCACTGCCTGACCAGCTCACCCAGAGCAGGTCTGAGCAGTACCTGCCCACAAGCAACTCATGCCCCAGAGAAAGAGAGGATCCAGGATACACTTAGGCAGCAGGTTTGGGCCTCATCGAGAGTGCCAAGACACCTTTTTTTTTTTTTTCTCCTTTTTTCCTTTGAAATTTAGAGGGCTGGTGAGCTGTTATAGCCGATGCTGTAAAAGCTACTCTACCGTTGCCAGTTGCTCTTGGAGCCAGGAGCATCCTGCGTTTCTTTGACTTTACGTAGGGACGACTCTTGTAACTGAGGGTGTGATGCTCCAGGTTACTGTGCAGCACTTTGGATGAGCCATGCTTTTGCTGCTTTCCCTCACCAGGCATTTCCTCTCTACCTGTGAGGCAAAACTGACATCTTTCCCTTTGCAAGATCCAGCCGGGGTTGAGGAGCACCAAGGTGGGAGCAGTTCAGCCCTCTGCCTCCTGGGGAAGGAGGGCAGTGTATCAGAGCTCTCTGTTTCTGCAGCAGCCTTGTAGCACTGCAAAGGTGCTTATTGCTTGGGCAACAGCAACAGAGTCAGTGCCCCGTTAACCTAATTAAGTTGATGCTGTGGTGTCTTTCCCGAGCCTGTCAGGACTCGGTGATGAGGCTTAGTAAGGGAAAAGGGTGTTCTTCAGTTTATTCTGCTAAGGATGCATACAGAATTGTAATACTTAAAAGCTTTTGTTCACTTTCATAATCCCGCAAACTAATCCCATATAGGATCCTCTTTTTTATTCCAAGATCTTCACTTACCTAAACTGAAGGAGTAGACCTTTTGACTGTCCTTCTGGTAAGGTGTAGCTTTGTGAATGTGGTCAACAGAGCATTCGGCGGTATGTGCATGTTGACCGTATTTGGAGTGCATCTTTTGTAGGAAGACAAACCAAAGGGTAATGTCACCCTGGATGGTAAGTCAAATCCATCTAGCTAGCAGGATGTTAAGTGAATGTTTGTACTCCACAGAACATCCCAGATAATTCTGGGATGGCAGACACCTTGTAGGTGTTGCAGCCAAGCTGGTACAGGACTCGCTGGCTCCGTGGGAAAAGATGACCTAAGCAGACCCATGCCTCTTCCCCATTAGTATCGTTTACATCAGTGACCTAGAGTGAGAGTTGTGCCTCCTAATATATACCTTGATTTCCTTCAGCACAAAAAAGAGAGATTGCTCCCAGAAATGACTTCTTCCTTCCTGCCTTTCTAATTAACTTTGGCAAAACTACTATCTGCAAAGTGTATGTAACCAAAGATTAGGAGATGCTATTCTTTCTGACAGATGGGCAAGCTAACGTGTAATGGGCTGCAGCTAGCAGTAGACTGGCAGCGTCCACTTAACGCTTTCTCCCGTAATCGTGTCCCCCATGTAGATGCATGAAAAAGTGGTGCCCTTCTGTAGCAGTGGATGTGCAAAGTTCACCCTTACACGCTTGATTAGCCATTTTAATTGTAACTTCTCTCAGTCACCTGCAAAACTGTTTGGTAGGTGGTGACTTTGTGATGTTACAGGAATCATTTTGATTGTTCTTATTTGGTGGCAATGTCCTAATGACATATATAAAAGGAATGGAATATGTATGCAAGCATGGAGTGACTGGACTTTCTCTCTGATGATTTTCACACCTCATCATGCATCACGGGGTGCCGTGCCCAGTGTGTCTGGACCCTGCGGACCTCAGTGATCCATTACAGTTTTCTTAGAAGTCATGAAAGTCAGGACTGTGTCTGCAGTCGTTGTACTGTGCTGTGTACTCTTTCGGTTTCTGAAGCTTGCTTCTTCATGGAACACAAGTTAGTATCTCTTGGAGATATATAAAGTGCTGTGTTTCCTGTCTGTATTCTGTTATTTTTCAGTGGTAATTAATGCATTCAAAACAGACAAAGCGTGTCTTAGCATAGATGTATCTTTTGGCCTTGTCTGGAGTAGAAGCATGTATTAAATCATGTTACACGTCACATACCTCTAATTCTGTGCTATGTAAAACTATTAGCGCATAGGACTAATCGTTCCCAATGTAGTAGTTCAAAGAAACTGAAAAGTCTCTATCTGAAGAGTTGATTGTAACCCATATGCTAAATTGGCTGTCTTCCCCACTTGAATACCTGCACCGTTTAGACACGCTGCTGGAGACATTTAGCAGAGTTGTATTCCAGTGACACCCGTGTGCTAATAGGGTCAAAGAATGGAAATTCATGCTTTTTTGGTTTTCCTGAAGGCAATGTATCCCAACGTCTCCATTACAGAGGAAAAGACTATGTGTTTCACTGCCATTTTGTTTACATTACTCTTAAAATATTTTCACCTTTCTGTTAAATCTTGCTGTGTGTTTTTGTTAATTCTTTCTCATTTTTTAACTCTAAAGTTAGAGACATTAGAAGTCTGTCACAGGTCAAAATTATTATGCATGTTTTAAGTTTCTACAGCTGTGTATATTTAAAATAAATCAGCAATATGTAAAGCCTAGGCTTGCTAAGGTTTTTGTGCCTTAATCCGTCATTGCATGATCAAACATTTGAAAGCATTTCATGAAGACTCGTAGGTCTTAATTAAAAATGCAGTTTTTCAGCCCAGAAGTTTACTTTTCAAAGAAACTTTGTTTTCAGGCAACATTTTAAGAATAAGGATTTTTCCGTGATACAATTTTGCAGGTCTCTAATCAACAGTATAATTTGTCGCATAAGTAAATGGAATAAGCAGTAGCAGTTTGTGGTTTACACTTTGTTTCTGGAATAAAGCTAGAAGAGTTCACAGAGGTTTTTGATTGAAAAATTGTTTAAGCATACCTGCTAGGGGACAAAGCTATCACATGTATGAGGAGAAGAATACTATGCTGGGCTTTATCATTTCAGTAACAATATGCTGGCCTGCTCCTAGGTTTCACAACAAAGGAGTTTACGTGAAAGTTGGGCTGCAGAAGATAAGTCATACCAGAAATCTTCACAAAGACATAAAGCTTCAGGTGGACCAGCACGAGGTGGAGTTGCCAAGTATAGAAGGACTCATTTTTATTAATATCCCCAGGTAAGAAGGAGAGGAAGGGTCCTGTCTTGTTACATATCTCTATGTATGTATGGAAGTGCTGCTTGGTATTTGAACGTCGCCCCCGTTATTAAATGGTCTAGACTGATAGATGACTATTACTGAATCTTCTTGATTATTACCCCCTCCATGACCCTGGCTTTGTAGCTGTGCCTACGAAAGCTAACTCTCAGTACTGTTTTGACATCTTGGTGGAACCACCTGGTTTTGCCAGTGCGCGCCCCTGTACATTTGCTGTTTCTTCTCCTGTGTCCTAACGTTAATTTGGAGTGGTTTCTTCACCAAAAAGTCTGAATACTTCTTGGGACCAGCTTTCTGGTAAAACATGGCTTTTTCGGCATGGTCAGCTGGCCTTTAGTTTCTGTCCCGTACCATTTTCTGCCTGCCTTAAAAGCACTTTGAACCATTGATCAGATTTCACCATCTATGACTTGTGGGATCATGAAAGATGATCAGTTTGCAGGCATTTTGTGGCCAGCTGGAGACCAGGTGCCTGAGGAGCTTCTCCAGTGATGGCCAGGCAGGATTAAGTAATCAAACGCCATGTAGGTCCAGCAGCCACTTGCTCAGTCAGGATGTGCAGGGTGGCTGCACAGTGTTATGCAGGTAGCTTTTAGCAGCCGAATTACCGTGGGAGGGGGGCAGTCCTGACACCTGCAGGGGGCTGGAGTTATTGCTGTGGAAGAAGGGGGGCACAAATCTGTAGGAGACCTGGCTTCCTTAGATGTGCTGTTGATGGCATGGCTTTTGGTTTGCACAGAAACAACAGGTGCTCAGTTCTGCCCATGCTTTATTTTCAGATATGCCGTTATCCTAAACTGTCTAGATCTCTTTCTGTTTTAGTCTGAAAATACATACTCACACATATGTACACATGTACATGCACACAGGCATACATGCATATGAGAACTGTGGAGGAAAAAGATCATGATTAGCATTGAGCAGTCAGTGCACTAAAAAAACAAGAAAGTGATTTGAGGAAGGAAGGCCGATACGGCATAGAGAACAGCTTTTAATTGTCAGAAGCATGTGTGAGGATGGAGGTGCATGAATACCTGTTAAAATACTAATGAGTTTCACCAGATGAAGAAATAAAAATTTGACACTTTACCTTCAGTTATTTACCTTTAGTTTAGTCCCTTCAGTAGCTTCTATGAATATTGTCAAGATCAGTAAGAGCTATATTAACTCTTTAATCCTCAGAAGTTAAAGGTCAGAGAGGCCATAACCTCTCTTTCCCAGCAAACTAAAACTCTTTGGAGTTACTTTTCTCACGTTTCCCTTTTTTTTTTTTTTTCCTTTCAAGTGGAGACTGCTTACTTCACTACTTCTTTCACTCCTGAAATATCTCATCAGAAGTCTTCCACGTTTTAGGAAGTTTTCCTGCTTTTACAGCGCAGGATAACCGTGCTGTCCGCCTCCAGCTGGTGGGGAGCAGTGCCCAGCTCTTGAAGCCTGGCAAGCGCGCCCGGTCTCGTGCCGGTGGGGTGGTCAGCAGGGGAGCCCGGCGTCCACGGGGTGGTCACCCTGCTGTTTTCTCCACGCAGCTGGGGGTCCGGAGCTGATCTCTGGGGGTCGGACAGCGACAATCGCTTTGAGAAACCGCGGATCGACGATGGCTTGCTCGAAGTTGTCGGTGTGACTGGCGTTGTTCACATGGTAAGTTGGTGCCCCGGTAAGAGCTGTGCGATTCGTGTCCCGAGCAGCAGAGCGGAGAGAAAGAAGTGTGTTCCCTTGATCCGCCAGTGGGCCTCTCTCTGGTAAATGCGTTGTCTACGACTAGCTTATTCTTATAATAACTAGTGCATTGCAAACGTTGACTCCTAAAAAATGCCAATCTGTGCTAAGCATTTATTCAGGTACTTGTTGCCTCATGCAGAAATGGTTATAGGCCGTAAAACAGAATTCCTGAGCAACATTGGCTGTTACGTGAACGAAGCGTTCAGGCGTCAAGCGTTCAGCTGTGACTAGTATGCCCATGCACTGACTACAGTGGCCTTCATAACCTGCTTTGGCGATCCCTGTCCAGGTGCCAGACTTCAACAGACAAAACAGAAACAGAAGAAATCTGGGTTGGGATGTATTAGACGTGTAAAAAACTTGTTAAAGTGCATAGGAAAATGCCTAATTGCTTCAGTAGGCTTTGTACCAACCAGAAACATACAGATATAGACACGTATGTACCTACCAAAAAGCACAGTCCTGTTTCTCGCGAAACTGAGAAACAGGACCGTGTTTTTTGATTCAGAAGGGGAAATGTAAGTTACACAAAACAATGCAAAGTTAAGACTGAAGGAAATGGAATGCATTTGCTTGTCTCTTCTCTAGTAATGAAGAGATACAGAATAAAAATCAAATATAGTAATCAAATAATCATAAATAATAAAAGGAGGATGCAAATTGGCTTTCTTTTGTATTTTCTGTGCTTTCTTTGTTTTTTGTCCTTTAAATCTATTGATGTATTTTGTTCAGGATAATTTCAGAAATTCTCTACTCTGTACCTGTGTCTCTTCAAGCTGTTGTTATGTAACATAATGACAGCACTAGTGTCCTTCTTACTTGTAAATAAAATGATGCATTAAGTTGTGGGTGGGGACTATGAAACTAGCTTATTTCCGAATACAGAATGCATTACCTTTATCATAACCTTTATCATGGTGTCAAAACAAAACAGTTTACAGGATGAAAAACAAGATTTGATTTTAGTGTTAGGAGATCACCCGTTCTTCACCTCAGATTTTTTGTAAGTATACTGTTATACCTCATCACAGTCAGTCTGCCCTTAATTGGCAGAGAGATTCCTTTAAGACAAGTGGCTTCATCATTGTCTGCCACAGGTTATCCAGTACCTTTCTCTGAAAAGTTAATGCTAGCTGCTTGTGGTCTGAATGCTACATAAAACAGATGAGAGGTTCTGCAGGGAATGTTATGGCTCAATTTGTGCAGCTGTAATTCTTCTGTGTATTAGTTATGTGTTACAACGGCCTGCTATTAACACTGCCATCCTGTGGGTTTTGTTTTTGTCTTTTAATATTTCTCTCAATATTTTAAGAAGTCTGCTACTGAAAAGGTGGTCAGGTAACTAGAGACAACAAATCCATACAGCCACCAAAAATGGAAAAGGTGGGTACTTAAAATTGTTTGTGCAGCTCAACCTTTGGGGTCTGCCAACTTTGCAGTTTTATAATTTGGGTCTTTTAAATAAAACCAATGTAAAACAATGCATCAGAAGAAGTGGTTCGCTAGAGATGCTTGAAAATTTTAACTAGTTAGAAGTAACAAGGAATACACCATTCTATTGGAATATGAATGTTAACAAACCTGTGCTCTGGCTTTGTGGTCTCGTGTTAAGGTTTTTAGCCGCATGTTTGGTGCCTCTACATATTCCCTAAGAGGATTTGTAGCAGGAAAGTTTACTTTGCGTCACATCTTACAGGTAACACTGAGCTGTTAGTTGTAGATGAATATGGAGTTGAATATGGCAAAATTCTCTCTCCATATTCATGTGCTAAAGCGCTTCCAGATTCTCAAGTTTTGCATAGAGCACTGTCCACGTGTGTAGTTAAAGGGTGTGAAAATGTGTTTACTACTTTATGCAGGGAAAGGAGTGAAAGTGAACAAGATTTTTGTGAGTGTGTGCTCCTTTACCAACCTGAATGTAGAAGTGACTTCACTACGTAAGTGCTGCCTCCGGCAGCGTTCTGCAGGGATATTTTGAGTTTATCTTCACGCGATGACTTAAAGGATTAATGTTGCATCAGTACGTGCGTGCCCTTCAGATTTTACTTACGCAGTTCTTTTATCTGAAATTTGGAATTTCAGCTGGCAGTATGGCTCTATCCACGTCCTCTCCCAGGCCAAGTGCAGCAAAGATTTATTTGTGCTTCTTGGGCTTTGGGGTGGTTGATCTCCTGGCTTTTACTTCCTGACAGGGTCAAGTACAAGGCGGTCTTCGATCAGGAATCCGCATAGCCCAAGGCTCGTACTTTCGCGTCACTCTCCTAAAGCCGATTCCAGTTCAAGTTGATGGAGAGCCCTGGATCCAGGCGCCAGGCCAAATTATTATTTCTGCTGCAGGACCAAAGGTACTGGCTGTAGGTTTGTCTCAGCAGTTTGATTTTGTTCAGTGGATGTTAGCGTTGTTTTTCTTGCTCCTTGTTGTGTTCTGATGGTTGACCTTAATGGAGCTAGTCAGGAGAGTGTTATAATTGTTAGATAAACGCATAGCAGCTTCTGCAGAGACTGGTTTGATGGCCCTCTCTGCTGACTATTTAAGAAAATAGTCTGTGAGCTTCAGCCAAGTGGTCACATTTTTTTCCCTCTGTTGAGATCTCCAAGCAGCGTTGCTTGCACTGAAGCAGATCAGAGTTACGAAGGCAGTGGCAGTGCGGTAGTGTGTGAGGGGGAGAGCGGTCTGCTGACAGTGCTGGGGGAAGGATGGTCTGTCCTTTAAAAAAAAAAAAAAAAAAAAAAAGCAAACTGAACAACGGGGTAGGAGGGTCTGAGGAAAAAAAAGCTTCAGAATAAGTAGTTGTCCATTTTCCCATATATCTCAATGCTTATGTAGAAGGAGAGGAGGATCAGCTGCCTAAGGATTAATTTTTCCATTGATGTTGAAATAGCGAAAGGAGCGTTTTGCGGTAGCTGGCTCTCAGTTGGGGGCATGCAGATCTGCACATTTGTCTGCTGCCTTCAGGTTGCCTTTTTAACTTACAGCTATTTATTGCTACAGGCAATCTTAGAGAATACCTGGCCCTCCTGGTAGAAAGCAAACATTCTTGTGGAGGAGAAATAAGTGAAAAAGAAGGTCAGACCTCAAATGTTTCAAAACATTTTAAACTTTATTCTTTTTTATAAAAGAGAGAGAGAGAGAGAGAGAACAAACGTGAGATTTGTCCTTCCAATGCGAAACATTCATATCTTTTAGGTTAGTGACTAGTAGTGTTTTCTGTATGTGTGTGTTTGTATATATGTTTGCACATACATCCTGTATACACAAACACACATATACATACATGTCTTGATATATTTCTCTACATATACCTACTTGTATAAATATTTATGTTTAAAAAGCAGTTAATCCTATAGCTTTCTAAATCAAGGTGCTTAAGTTAGTTGTATATTTAAATTGTTTTTCTCTTGCAGTAGCAACATCTTACTCATTTATTAGTTGCCTTAGATCTGATTGTAGGTGACTACAGAGACTTTGATCCTCGCTCACGTTCTTTAAAACTGTCTACTTTAGGTCCATATGTTGAAAAAGTCCAAGCAGAAACAGAAGAAAACTGGAAGCCTGAGAGAGACGAGAACGGATAGCGTGTCAGTCACTGAAGGAGGACGCTAAATGGAGACCTGTGGTCAGCATTTGTGCAGCACATCTACTGTAGATCCCGTGATGGTTCAGTGAAACTGAGTGCAGACAACTGGTGAAGAAGGGTTGCTTATGAGCGTGCCTTTCATTACATAATACAGGACTGGGTTCTGCTTGGTCATTCAAAGATAGTGCCTCATTGTCGCAAATACTTAACTGTGTACCACTTGTCTCATCTAAAATGTTTACTTTGGGTTGCTTTTCCGTAAACCTTTCCCCAGTTTTTAGTTTATGGAAACTGAGGCTAAACACAGACTCCAAGATGTTGAGATTTCCACATCTGCTTTTACAAAAACTCTTCCCCTCCTCCCCAGGTTTTTCTTTGAGAAACCATTCCGTAGATAACGTCTTGGTGTATCGTTCTGTAAATGAAAATGTATTGTTTTAAATTAACATTTGTAGTAGCCTCCAAACCAAAAAAAGGCAAAGAGATGAGCTGCTGAGGCCTCCTCAGATCAGTCCAAATAGCACAGCTGAAGCAGTGCTACTGTAGAAGAGAAAAATACAAAACATAAGAGAGATGATTTCTATAAAAGGAGCCCCATGCACTGGAGAGAGAATGTACTGGAACAGTTGAGTCAAAATATTTAAGAGAGTTTGGTTTCAACAGTATTTGGACAATAGGGAAGGGAAAACAGCTTTTAGAGCAAGTTATCAACTGCAGTTTCGCTTCTCCCATATGGAGTCCAATCCTGTTTTTAAAGGCATTTGATTTTCACTAGCTACTACTCTAAAGTAAAAAGGAACAAAAATATCTGAGTAGTATTACATTATACTGATTATTTTCTATCATTGAGAAATTACGTTTGACACCAGACTTCTCTCCTTGTCTTTCCTTATGTTATTTCATGTTTACCTATTTGTCCTATGTTGAACTGTTATTTAAAAGCAGGCTTCAAAGACTAAAAGAACCATCACTAATTAGGGTAAAAGAGGTACCATTTAGTTCACTAAAGTAAATTAGGACCAGTGATAGGTTAAAGCTGAGCTGAAGCAGAGTGCTGTAGGCTTCAGATGACTGGGAATGTGATAGCCGTTGTGAAAACTCACTTATCTAGTGAGCCTTCACAGGTCCTTTTGCAGCTGCTCTTCTTGCCAGCAGTTGCAGGGCCAGGATTCAGTGACTGTCTCTTCCACTTGGATGAGCATGTGCTCTTAGGAGGCTGTTGCTCTTTCAGCTCCTGTGAGCTAAGATTACCTCTCCATGCTTACTTGCCTGCTGAAGATACTGGGATGCAGTACTTTCTTCATAGCTTTCTGCTGAAGATTGGGGATAGAGCAGATGTGTTGGTCCTGTAGAGCACTACATGTATCTGCTCGCCATGGCCACGGTCGTGGTGTCCTTACTTCTCTGCTGGTCTCATCTCACCATGGTTATCGAGTGACTGGACCCTTCACTCCAGATCAACATGATAAACAAGGTTGCCCTCAGCCCGGTCAGTTACGGAGTCAGGAGTGTATATGCTTTTCCTGCTTGTGTGCATCTGCTGCCTGGAACTGCTTAAGCTGTGCTGGTATTTGCATGGTGATAACAAGCACAGCTGTGGATGGCATGAGTTCATCACTCAAATGGCAGCTTTGGAAGCATTCTTCTTGCCAGTGCGTCTAGAAACACATCTCCAGCTGCGTCAGGGAACTTCAGTAAGACATTGAAGTGTGCCAAGGCCATGGTTTTGTGTTGGAGCTAATTATGTGCTGAGGCAGCTCTTGCTGGGTCTTGTTGATCAGTGTGCACTCTGAAGCACAGTGCCAACTTCAGCAGCACCTGATCTTTACCTGTGCTTTACACTTCCCAGTCACAGCACAGACCAGGGTGTGAATGTAGGTGCTTTAAAACAGTCGTGTATAAGCAATAGATGGAACTACATAAGTAAAGCTGTAGAGACAGGCCGAACAGGCGTGCAAAGATGGCATGAGCTGCCTGCAGTCTCTCCTTGCTGTCCACTGATTCTTGTTATTAACAAGGCCTTACTGTTCTGGTAGAGGAGCATTTGAAGGACTAATTCCTTTGTTTTCAGTGAAGCTTGCTATTAATTGTTTAAATCATTACTTTAATTGTTACTTTAATGATCTCCATGTACTACCACATGGACGACAACTTATCCTTATTCCACATGTAAACTAGACTTGTGCTACGAAGGCAATTGTGTTGATGGCACAGAGCTAAAATACTCATCTCTTAATTATTAAACACGGGGGATTGTCTCTACTTCAGAGCCTCGGCAAGAAGAAACCGACGAGCTCATCTGGCATCCTGGTACCAGCGTTTCAAATAGGAAGGGGGAAGTGCTGTATTTCAGGGTATGCCTTCTCAGGATGAAGCTCACAGCTTAGAGAGGAAATCCTACATAGATTGCTGCTTATAGTACAGAAAGCAAAAGAAACTGCTTTGTGTCCTTGGGGTAACTGAAAGACTGCATGGTCTTCTTTCCGATTGCAGACTCTATGACGGAGAGGAAAATTTTTGAGTCTTGTTTACAGAAAACATTCATAAACTTAAAGTTTGTTGGTACTGACCATCGTCTGCAGCCCAAGTAAACAAACCCATCTGACTAGTTTTCCAGATACGCTGCAGCATGTAACTGGTGGTGTTTCATGTTCTCGGCTCGCCGAGGGCCATGCTGTCTGTCCCTATCACTCACTCTCTGGTATCTGAAATAACATGAAACTCTTGGGTCAGATGGACCCTTACTGTGGCATATCTTCCCATGGGGATCTTCCATTCCTAGGACATTGTACAAGCCTGTCTTAGGGTAGCATTGCGGTAGCAAAGATACGCAGAAGTATGAGCGTGTTCTCCTCACAACTGCAGAGAGGATCTTTTTTTCTTTTTCTTTTTTTTCTCCTTTTTACGGAAACTGGCTCCCACGTGTTATTTGAGTAGAGGAGTGCCACACTGGAATGAAAATTTATCTTAAGTAAAACACACTTGGCATATAGTATCTCCCTTAGATGATTCTTGGTGTGTTTTGAAGACAAAACAGATTTCTGGGCAGATGAGATAGGAAAGCTCTTGTAAACATTTGTAACAGAAGAAACTCTCTTGAACTGTGTCAACATCTTCCAGTTTCAGGTACTGTAAAATGTCCGTATGCCAAGGGAATCATACCTTTCCTGTATATGTTTTTATCACGTTATGTATCTAAACGAGCCTAAAAAATTCTTCCATAGTAGTGTAGGACTTTATTGAAGAGAGGTGATGACTCCTTCTCTTTAATATTAAACTTCTTGAGTTAGCATTTACAGCGAACAACGTAACAGTAGCAAAAGCGTTGGGGATGAGGCTCAGTTTGTCAAGACAGGCGTTAAGCAACGTCAGGGATGTAGAGTCGGAGGCCATAATCTGTAGATAGGGAGGAAGTGCAGGTGCACAGCTGTCCAGAGCACCCTCCTCGATCCTCTCTCCACAGCCCTGCCTTTTTACCTCACCTGCAAACCACAGCAGGCACTCTTCATACAACTAATGTCTCTCCTGCTTAGATACTAGCTCTTGACCTTTCACTAGTGTCCTTCTAGGCTTTGCCAGCATGGGAGAGAGAGGGGTCCTGGAAGTCATGGTGCATATCCCACTATCACAAACCAGAAAGGACATGGTCAGTTGGTTAAAATCTTTTTTGGTGAATAAATGCATCATCTCTGTCCTGAAATAGGACAACCTACATTCAAAAGAACGTCCCTGGGATACAAATACTGCTTCATTAAAAATGTTGTTTTTTCCCCCAGCTTTTAGACTTGATTCATCTAGTTTAAACTGCTGAGGCCTTTCTTGCATTGATTTTTAAATGAAACTGCATGGAGTTATTTTGCCAAAAACATTTTGTTTACTTATATGTGTGTATGTATGTACACATATATTTATGCACATACCCTTTTAAAATAGGCTTTATCATATTTCTTTTCTTTTCAGTGCATATTTGTGCAGGTTTTGCTGTGCAGCAGCGTTCTGACAGCACTCACCTCTGGATCTCTCTCTCTCACCACTTTCGGACAGGATGCTGAGCGCTTGCTTTCTTGCTGGTCCCATTTAAGTTCCCAGCATATATATCTAATGGACATGTACTTTCCAGCAGGACATGATGGTAATAAAGTCAAAGCACAACTCTTTCAAATGCAGTATCTGCATGTGTACACTTTGAGCGCACGTTGCTCTTTGGGGATTTAAATCACATCTTAGTGTGTTTAAAATCAATGGTAGCATCTAATGTAACGCTTTAAAAGTTAGAAGAAGCTGTAGCATAGCTCATTGCAAGATGTAAATAGGGAACAAAATCTAAATGAACTCTTATAGACAACTGCTCATTAAGCTTCACAGTTACCCTCTTTAAAGTATTGTACAGATTGCGTTTCTTTAAAGAGCAAGTAATGTGCTTGTTTTGAATATTAACTCTTTGGAAGTGATAAGCATTTACGCATGCTTGTTCCCTTGCAGTGCAGCCTGTTGGCGTATAAATGTGTCATTACTAAAATGAAGCCTCGTTTGGTTTGAGGAGGAGGTAAGATAACTCTTGTGGCACTTCAGAAGGCTTAAAATGTTGGGGATAGCAGAGATGTAGCTGGATGGGTATTTCAGAGCGCGCTGTGCACCAGCACGTGCCCCTGTGCCGCCCGGTGCCTGCCCAGGCTGCAGCTCCGAGGCTGGGGTCTGCCACGGACCGTGCCTCCTCCTTGCGACTTGGGCAGGCTCTGCGTTTTCCTCCCCGGCCAGGCTGCCTTCCTGCCCTTCTGGCCCAGCCTTTGCACTGAAACCATGACAGCGGCGCAAGAAGTGGCAGGAGGTGGCAGTCGGTGATGGAGTGGCTGGTCTAAAACACCAGGGCAGCTGTTGGGCTTAAACCATCCATCAGTTTGTACTTCCACCTCACCCCTTAACAGCTGTGCAGCAAAGACTCGGCAGCTACTGAACCAGCTTGGGTTCATGCTGGCAGCCTTGGCTCGGTTTCAGGCTTTGGCCTGATGCCGCGCCTGGATCACATCACATACTTTTTGCACTTAACAGTAAATCCAGGTTGGCTATGCGTAGGGTGCGGCAAAATTGCAATGTTTGTACTTTTGTAAATAAGGGGATAATTCTGTCTACAGATTTCAAGATGCACTTTCTAGTTAGGATGAAAAAAAAGTCCGTAGAAAGCAACTGTTTAAATCTGCAGGAGTTAACACGGACTGCCGTGTCCCTTCATCCCCATCTCTAATACTGTGTTCTCATTGAAAGCCCTATTTGGGAACGAGCGGAGATGGTATCTTCCCCACGTCAAAATACATATTTATTTCTGACTGACTGAAAGTTCATAGATATTTTTAAAACAGCTAAAAATTGGCTGCTATTTGAAGAATTATTATTATTATACTGATTTTATAATACATAAAAGTAATATTAAAGTTTATTTATAACGTCAACATTTACTGATTTCACACTTGGTTTGTATGAGAGGTCCAGCTCAAAAGCATTTGTTCCTTTTGCTTTTTTTTTTTTTTTTTTGGACTAAAAATTTTTCCATTTTATGTATGGAATGTAGTGAATTGAATGCAACTTACTAAAATTATTTCTAAATGTACAGTTAGACCAGCAGTTTCAATGTTTACAGGACAGTGACTATTGATTGTAAACCCATACATGTCCATTGCAACAATGCTCTCCTTTGTGTTTTGGAAGCATTGTTTCTGCTTCCTGTGACAACTAATGAAATAGTTGCCTTCTGGTTTAGACTCCTAACTATGCCCCTTTGGAGAAATTTAGATGTTGATTATGGCCTTTCTGCCATGAACTTACAGAACAGACTTTGTACTGACACAAGTGTTGTACTGAATGTGATTTCCTAAAGATTGACTTTATTTTTTGTGAAGATAATTTATGAGAATGTTTTTTAAGCAGTTTGCTGTTGTTGAAAAAGTTGTTCTGAAGCCTTGAAATAAATGTGCGTAGATATTAAAGATGTATTCCAAAGCAAAGTATTTTTTTAATAGGGCGCTGTTATTGGTGTAGTTATTCCCCTGATCTCTCCCAGTGACACACCCTTTTCACACCTTGGTGAAGTGTGGTAGTGAGGAGAAGACTTGGTTTCAGGAGCTGCGTCTTCATTTGTTTTCTGTGCATCCCGCATTGCACATCTGGTAGCAACTGCAAATGAAAATGGGTGCAGACGGCTGAGTTTTTTTTCCCCATAAAGAACAAAGACCCCCGCCCCCACCTCGTTTGCTTGGCTGCAGAAATGTCACAAGTCTGGTGGTGCCTGTCCGGCTCTGACAGTTATCTCTCGCCGTCCAGACAGACACGTGCCACACACTTCCATCCTTTTGCTTTCTGAAGGAGAGGAGGCACAAGTCAGGCATGTGTCTGTGCACATCAGTTACAGCTGGCCCGGCGGTGGCTTCCCTCCCTTCGTGCTGCTCACGTCGCCAAATGGGGTAGCAAGAGGTGCTTGAAGAAGTACTGTGTATTTATTGTGCAATCTTAGGTGCTTATAACCCTCACTGCTACTGTCAAACAAAAACAGTCCTCGGGATCTGTTTCATAGCAATAGTATCGCTCCAGCTTTTTGGACGCACCAAAAGCAAGTTATCCTGGGGACAGTTTAATTAGCAATGGTGTAGACACTAGCAAACACCACCTGGAAGAAGCCGCAGCTTGTGCTTGACAGGAGGAGGGAGCATCTGTGCTTTGAACGCAGAGCATCGGAGTTTGTCATTCGCCAGAGCTCCGTGTCCCTCCTTCTTGTGAACCACCCATGACATGTGAACTCTTCTCAAACGATGGCTTAACTAATGCTTAAAAACTGTTGAACACGTTTTTCACCTCTTATTATTTAAAGCAGCCAGCCTTGAGTGTTTGTGGGTTTTATTATTATTATTGCTGTTTTAATTTCAGGATACTCTTAAGATGTCTAATGGCATTTCTTGTGAATGTTCTAATATGTTGCTAATAAATCAGCTTGGCCCAACAAGCAAAGCTAAGGCAACCAAGGAACGGTTTAGTTACTGTCTAGTGCTTATTCTTTGTGCATCTGCCTAATAATTCCCCCCCAAAAGTATAAGCATTAAAGTGGCTGAAAACTATTTCCACATTGTGTGCCTCAAACTAATAAATGCAGATCACACGTTTACTTGTGGATTGGTCTCAAAAACAGGGTTTTAATGGTGTAACTTGTTTATCAACATCTGCCTTGCCAATCACTATGCTGTGGTAAATTGTCTACAAGTAACATACCTAATGTACTAACTGGTAAAAAAAGAAGTAATTTATACAAGATGGACTTTTATCTGATATTTAAACATCTGTTTGTCCTTGGATTATGTTCTTAGAATAATTCTGTATATATTTGGCAATGTGTTTGTGTTTAATTTGACTGTACGTTTTGCACTGATTTGAAATTCTGTATCCAATTATAATTTGCAATTACCAGAGATCTATAACTAGAATTTATGTCTGTGAAAAATACAGCATCTGTTCTACCCTGGATGTTTGTGAAGTAGTCATGCTTTAAAAATAGTGAGATAGACTTACGGAGAAAGAAGTATGCTTTAGCTCTATTGCGGGCACGACTTTTGTAACAGCCTTGCTGTTTGACGTGGTGTCATGCTCCATGGAAAGGTGGCTGTGTTGTATGCAAAGCAGCAGTGTTGTTTATTTCTTCGCAGTTTCTAAGATGACACCTCCATACTATTGTGGTATGTCGCATTCGGCACCATTCAAGCACTTCTGGAGCCATTTTTGCTCTCGCTAGCACTTGCTCTAACCGGTAAAATCTTTCTGGGATAGCACAGCCGTCATGTGTTAAGCACCTCTGTTTTGTGATTTCCCACAGCAGTTTCCTACAACTGCTTGCCATGTCTGCACTCCTCTGGAAACTCCTGATTCGGTATTTTCGGCGCTAGGTCGGGGAAGCTGGGGGGACAAAGGCACTAGATGGCGGCACGGCCAGATCCCATGTCAGCAGCCCCCCCACCCTGCCACGTCTGGAGGGTCACCAAGGGGGTGTCGTGGTGCAAACAGAAGGTGCCAAGTCGGAGCCAGAGGCGCTTCCCCCTTGGCCATGGATGAGCGAGGGTCTGGGGAGAAAGAGTGCTGGGCAGGGGAGGAAGGGGAATGAGGAGTGGTGCAAATCCAAGGGCTCCCAGTCCAACCAGAGAGGCCACTGCTTCACTGGTGGGAGCTGCTCCACTCCACAGCCATATTGTTGAATATAACTTTATTAAAGGCAAAAGACATGCAGGCCATGGGGGGGCTGCATTAGCCACTTGGTCTTGAAAACTCCATTAAATACTCAGTATGAAAGAAGCAAGGATATTCAAGTGTGAAGGCAGTATCTTCCAGAGCACTGAAGAACGGACAGTACTGTTACACACCAAGAGAGAAATGAGGTGACTCCTGGGCTGAACTGGAAAGTGAGGCCACAGAACAAGGGTTTTATTATTGCAGAAGCACTCAAAACTTTAATTAAACAGGAGCATTTTGATAGTTCATTATCCTTTGCCCTCCTCTCAAATGAGATGTCACCTCATGGAGCAATGTGGTTTCTCGGTATTAACTATTTGCCCTTTAAACGAGTTTCCCTAGGCTTTGTTAACAGTGACTAAGCCACACAATTAGGGATCAGCAAAAGAACTGATACACTATTTTGCCTTTGATACCTTTAGTACATGATACAACAGTTTCTCTTAACTCAAGAGCACAAAGGTGTTTTGTTTCTGGGCCAGCTGGAAACAAGAGGCATGCATGAAAAGTGCAGAGAAACAAGAAAAGTATATGGAAACACACTGCTCTTATGCTGCATCTCTAATGTTCTCCCAGCGAGGGAGGAGTTAAGGCACATGCCCTGACTGGGTGGTAGGAGACCCTTGATTGCTGGCAGCACGCCCTCTCAGAAGGATTGGAAAGTGAGCACTCAGGATTACTAAAGAACATGTGACTTTTTCACAAAGACTGAGGCATTAGCTACACAGCCTTGATCAAAATCCAGTTTGCGTAATTCCACCCTGGCTGCCTGTTTCTTTGTTCATGGCCAAAAGGTCTTTAGCATTGTCGTGTTGTTTTCTTCTGAACAGCTTCACTGTGTCCCAATCAACAGATGAAGGCTGGCACAAATCCTCCCTGTCTATCACTGCGTATCCTTGTCCTCATTTGCTTGAAGGTCCCAGCACAAGGCACTGAGTCAGTTCTGGCCACTGACACACGCACCCTTGCCCATGCCTTTCTCCACAGAGCAAGAAAACAACCTGCTCTGAGGAGCCAAATACCACCTCTGTCCCCAGCATCATCTACCACCCTTTGTGCCTGAGAAGGCTAGCTGATAGGTGGTCAGTGTGCAATGCTGTGCCACGGCTGAAACAGCATGTTGCGGCTGCTGAGGCAGGAGATTCTCCGAGCTTCCAGACTCGCTTCCAGGAGTGTCCCAGCACCCAGCTAGGGCTGAGTCTTTGTTCAGTGTGGACGTAGCCTAAGCAAGCACTGGGGCAGGGACTGAGACTAATGGGAGAACATGCGAGTAAATAGCTCAGTCTCATATCTTTGGCCCCAGGCAAAGTAATTTATCTATCTCATCTAGTCACAAGGAGGAATGTCCCTACAGAATTGCCACTGAGTGCTCTTTCACTCTGCTCTTCCATCTTTTCATCTGATGGTATCTTCCTTCTGTGGTCCTCCTCTCTGCTACTTCATGTTTTCATAAATGTCACCTTTTTGCTTCATTCTGTATGTGAACTTACCAGGCACTACTTCTGGCTTGGTTGTGGCTTCAGACAGTGTCACGGCACCTTGCTCTTTAAGTCAAGTCCTTTAAGGAACCGTCTACTTCCACCCTACATACGTCCTACTCCACTTCTACAAAGTTAAATCATACTGACTCAATTGTTTGGCTTAACAAGCTCCTCTTCACAGCAGACAAATCCTTTCCTCCCCTTAAGAGAGAAATCCTCTCCCCTCAATGACTTGAAGAAGACAGACAGATTTAAGATTGCAGGTCTTTTCCATCTGACTTGGCAGGCAAGTGGACATACAAACAGTCAGACTCAAATTCCTAGTCTCACAGGCAACAGCTCAGCAAAACAGGAGAACAGGACAGTTAGGGGAGATGACACTAAGTCTCATACTACTGGGAACATGTTTCAAAGAGGTCATATGTAACATGGTCACTACACAGGACTTTGTCCAGTATCGACGTAGAGCCATGCTGAAATCAGCTAAGGAATGTCCATGCCAACCTTTTTGCTTATGTGTTGGTGACATAACTTGGGACCTACAAGGAAGCTGCTGTTTCCTCTACCTGTACGGAGGTGGATACCTTCACACCTTACAGCTTCTTACGTCTAGCTGCAGCAGCTGTTAAGGACACATACAGAATGGAAACATTTACACTGTGGTGACACTTAGAGAACATCACCGCGTGAGAATCACCTCTCTTAAAGATGATGCAGTCAGAGTAACCGACAGTCCCTGGATGAACACGCTTGCAGGTTAAAAGGACAGTCTACAGACCCCATGTCACTGCTCATATTGGTATTTATTCCACCAAATGACTTAACGATTTTGGAGTGGCTTCTCTGTAACTTATCACCTTTCAATGCCAATGTATTCTTTAATGAAACATATCTACATTTGAAAGGCAATTCATTCAATTTTGAATGTCCAAAGACTCCCAGCCCTCACCCTCATCTCCTTGTTTGTGCAACCGTATGCTCCAGCTAGGCAAATTTCCTTAACTCCACTGATTTCTCACAGGACTAAGTTGATGATTGTGGGGGAGAGTTAAGCATGCAGGAGGACAGGGAAGCCCTGCCTGGTGGGCTGATGCTGGTATTGCCATGCTCCAACCAGAGGCAGACAGATATAGCGATATAGCTCCCTACATCCAAGATCTGTTGTAAGGCAGGCTCAAGCTATATGAACTTCACCTTGCCTGGTTTAGGTTTCTTTCTCACAGTGTATTTTGCTAGCACTCTGGAACAACTTCAGGAGGTAGTTAATAGAAAAAAAATGATGGAGCCAAACAATGATGGAGCCATACAAAAATGACGGAGCCAAACTCAGTAATGACAGACAATAAAAGAGCAAAAGCAACAAGCTGTGGTCTGGGTAGTTCAATTGGACATTAGGAAACAATTCTTACCCAGGGAAGTGGTGCAGTCCTGGGACAGGGCATCAGAAAGGTGACAGAATTTGCACCCCTGGAAATTTTCAAGACCCAGCTAAAGAAAGTCAAAAGAGATCAGATCAATAAGCCTGTTGACAACAGTCCTGCCTTCTTAGATGAGAGACTTCTCACTAACGCCTAGGATGCTATGATTAAACGGTAACATTTCAACTGTCCTGAAAAATTCCTATCCTGTCTACCATAACGGAGAAGAAGAAATAGTCTTCCTGAATCACTGGATGGATGCCTAAAATTTAAGAGAAAATTGCATTAATTAGACTCATTTAAGAGAAAATTGCATTAATTAGACTCATAGGCTCTAAAAAGCATTCTGTTTGCTTACAAGATCTAAAATAAAATAAAACAAAATAAAATAATATGCATTCCACAAACTTCTAGCTGGCTCTCTGCACAAGACCAGAAATGACACTATCCTGGCTTGGAAGACAGCCTGGTCAGCAGTAGCAAGACAGATCAACAGGTGGTTTCTTGTTCTGCCTGCTAGCCAGATTGTTGTGGGGAAAAAAAAAAAAGCCCAGTAAAAAGGCATTAGCAAAAAGGCAGGTAACTACTCATAAAGGCAGCCTCTCAGACGCCGCAATGCCATCTGCACACAGGACTGTGAGGGCAGCAGGTGAGGGCAACCTGGCATGACAACAGCTACCCTCAGCATTTCCCCCTCAGCCTTCTGGTGTGACAGACCATATGGCAGAAATAGCCTGTCCCCTTACACCCAAGTCCAAGCACCAGCAAGCCCCAGAGGCTACAGCTGTGCAAATCACACAGCAAAGCACCACAGACCTTTGAAGGCCACTGGAGAGGTGAGGGACAGACTCTGACAGCCGACACAAGGGTGCTGGCATCTGCAACCTTGCTGCATAGCTTGGCTAGGCAATGCCACGCGGATGGCTAGGTGGAGTACCAAGACAGGTCAGCACACATGGGCCAAATTTCGCTTTCGAGTGTTACAAAAGGCTTTCTGGCCTTCCAAGGACTGACTGGAACAAACACCACTGGCACAGAGAAACTGAGGAAAGACTTGTGTGCACCTGCAGCCACAGCTCTCCTTCTGACCGCAATGGCTTGGCCTTTTTCTTGTTGGCTGCAGTAGACTCTTAAGCAAAACACGGAGCACAGCCTGGGGCAACAGCCTCCCGTGACTGTCAGTCCCGTTTGCTGCAGTTCCCTCCAGTTGCACCCTCCGTTCCAACCTTTGCTTCCTGCTGCTAACACCACCCTCCTCCTAGCTTGTTTCCAACCTTTGGCCACTGTTGGTATCACCACCCTCCTCTCAACTCCTCATCAACCATACTCTGCCGACAGCTTCTCACCAGCCCAATTATCTTTGCAAGGCTGTTTTATATAGTTGTTTGCCATATTTGCACTCCTGTAAAAGCATCCCAGTATTTTCAGGTTTCCTTTTTGATATAAATTAACATAATGTAGATTTTTCTAATTTTCACTCTTTCAGTGTGCGAGAGTGGTGTATCATCAGCTCTGGTAACAAAATGTAAAACTAAGCCTGTTAAAACTGTCCAAAGTGTCATTTAAATTTGGCTTGTAGAAGGTGATGCTTTTGTTGTGCTAATTTTAACTATCAGCCAAGTGTCTGCCAAGTCTTATGCTGACTGCTGGCACAAAAGGAAGGAATGTCATCAAACAACACAGCACAAAAACATGGATCTTCGATCTGGCTGTTGTTTTTGATTTACAAGCTATGCCATTTGCTATTACATGGGCACAGCTACATGTATTTTCATGGCAAGGTCACTGCACTCACCGTTGAGATGGAGGCTGCTGCCCTCTTGCTTTCTGACTGGGGATAGCAACAGCCTTTACATGATGAGCACAAGTCTTCCCGAAGCTCTGCCGATCCTTGCAGGTATGACTGCTGTAGGTTCTTGAAGTTACTGCAGGAACAGTTAGGCTGCAGTCGAACACATTTATGTAAAGCTGTTCATGCTGCAATTGTTTTGTCTGTGCATGTATAACTAACTTGTTCACTTTTTTTTAAAGTCACTCTCCTCCAAAATTGTAAACAGTTTTAGGAGGGAAAAGAAGCAGTAAGGGGGTGTTGAGAGCAGAGGAGGGTGTGTGCAGCTGCTCTCCTAGGTGTCTCCAGAGCTCTCCTCGATGGTCCCTCCTGCTGCCCCTGGGGCACCTGTCCCTGTTTTCCCATCTCAGCAGGGTGCCTGCCTGCATCCAGGGCATGTTGCTGAACCCGAGCCCCTCTGCCTCAGCTGTCCCATGCCAGAGCAGACACAGCAGGCGCTGGCCTGTTTCTTCTGGGCCAACCTGGAGAGGAAACTGGGTTTTGGGACTACAGGTGTGTGGAGACCAAAAGCTGAGCCTTTTACTCGCAGCAGTGTCCACAAAAGGCTCCTGCCCTCTCTCATCCCTAGAAGACTGTTGCTGCTGAGAAGACTGTTGCTGGCGGGGCCAAGCAAGGCTGCTCAAGCTCCCAAAGCAGTTTGCAGAGCTGCAGGGAACAAAGAGATGAGGGGTGCTGCTCTGCAGGCACTATTCTCTTCAGGGTGGCATGCACCCTAGGGAGGTGTTGGCAAGCTGCTCCCTGGAGTGGGCCAGATGTCTGCAACGGCCCCACAGGGGAACATGGAAGGGGCTGAGTCCCCTGCAGCAGCGGAAAATCTCCCATAGGGAGCCTGGCCCTCCCAAACATGACTGCAAAGGGAGTCAGGGCAGCCCAATGCTAGGCCCACGGGCCAGGACCCACGGCACTGACCTCAAGCCTAGCTGCGGCGACACAGCACTGCACAGCCTCTGGGTACAAGCACGACAGCGCACAGAGCAGCGAGGTCAACATGCGTCCCAGCTGGAGGGCCAGGCCTCACAACACTCAGTTAGGGAGGAGCTGGTGGGACAAGGGCCTGCATGGTGCAGACTCCTCAACAAAACACGGAGAACAGCCTGGGGCAACAGCCTCCCGTGACTGTCAGTCCCGTTTGCTGCAGTCCACAGACCAGCACCTCGCTAGCGCCGCCCCAAACAAACCTTTCGGGCGCCGATGCGGCCCTGCGGCACTCTGAGCAAGCCTCTGACAAAGCCTGTGAACGTACACTTGGGCGCCGAAGGGCCACAAGCCAACGAGCCTCCTTCAGGCCCCCCGCTGCTG